AATAAAAAAATAAAATTAAATTAAACCTAAACACATACCTTAGTCTGTGTCATAGACCATTAAATATGATATAGCGCTGCAACCTCAAAGCACTAAATTTGTGTCTCTGCTAGAGAGGTTAAACTGTGCCTGCCTTTGCCTCCTGTGTTGCATCAAATGGCACTTCTGGCCGCTGGAATGGCTTTGAAAACCTGGCACCTCACAGTACATGAACTGGAACAAGCTGAGCAGTCAGATTTGGGTGGATGGAAAGAGCAATCCTTCTTACCTTTGCAGGGTGCAATAGCTTTAAATCTACTCTGGAGCAAGCAAGGCAGGGTGAATAATTTGGGCATTACTTGTGGAGCTACTTGGAAAAGTAGAGAAAAAATGTTTCTGGGGTGGTATCTCACATCATCAGAACTCAATTTACTGTAAACCACGTCTTGTTATGACTGTTGTTGGTAAACTTCCAGCTTTAAATGGGAGTCACGCAGTGACACCCTAGCATCCTGTGCTGAAAGCTGTCTTCCCAGGGTTACCAGTGGGGTTAAGCTGGACAATGTCAGAAGCACTAATGGATGTGAATGTCTTTATAAAGAAAGCCAGTTACCCAAAACCTAAACATTCTGAAGTCAGAAAGGAGGGGAAAATATTTATGAATGGCAGTTGCTGTTGTTAGTTTCAGCCTTAGTTTTATAAACAGTTACTAAGCCATTAATTATCCATAAAGAAAAGTGACATGTGCTTTTATTTATGCTCGTTATGTTTTCAGTGACTCATGGCAGTCACACTTTTTCTCAGAAACCAGAAGACAGAGCGGGTCTTCTGGAAACTCCCTTTGCCCTTGTAGGTTTGATCCTTTGTCCACTGAAATCATCCTGTTGACTTCGCTGAACAAAGGGAAGACTAAAACCGTTCTATGGCAGAAAGTGCTCTTGGCAGTTCCAGTGCGGAGTGTCTACACTGTTGGTTAGGGAGAAGTCAGTATCGGCTTATGTAGCGTGGTCCTAGGTTTTCCCTAAAAGAGTCATTATCATGAGAAAGGACGAGCTCTGAAGTCAGCGTTGTTCTTTTGTTCACTGTCTGTGTATAAAAGTGATATCATATGTCCTTACTGTTTCATTTCTAGATATCAATGAATGTAAAATGGTCCCCAGCCTTTGTACCCACGGAAAATGCAGAAATACCATTGGCAGCTTTAAGTGTAGGTGTGACAGTGGATTTGCCCTGGATTCTGAAGAGAGGAATTGCACAGGTAAACTGCATGGGTGTATGTCTCATAACTTTGATTTGAAAAGGAAAAACTGAACTCCCCTGAAAATACTGTGAATGTGGTTTTTGTTACAGATATTGATGAATGCCGCATCTCTCCTGATCTTTGTGGCCAAGGCATCTGTGTCAATACTCCTGGAGACTTTGAATGTGAATGTTTTGAAGGCTATGAAAGTGGATTTATGATGATGAAGAACTGCATGGGTAAGTTTTTTATAGACCATAGATGTGCAATAGCACGCTCTGTGCTAGTATGCTATGCATGAAGTATTTTTTATTTATTTTATATTTTTAAAGGTTTGATTGCACCTGGGTTTAGGTCCCTCTCATTTTGTGAGTCTTACTAAAGCTCGCTTTGATTTTTTTATCCACCCCAAATGTGAATTTGCTGCATCTGCAGGATGCCAAAGCATAAATGAGCAAGTGTCAGGATTGTAGGATGTTAAATTTATCCCCCCAATCCCTATTTTGCTAAGTGGGACACCATCCTGAACTCTAGGAGAAGCCTTTTTTGAATTTATATTTTGCTTTAACTGCACTGTGGTATAAGGGATGACTAGCTGTAGGGCAGGCTCCAGAGCCCATCTAGGCAAATGGTGCTGTGATAGGTAGCAGCCTGTGGGGAGGGATGGGCTGCTCCCGTGGCAGCACTGGCCCCTGCAGTGATACGCCTTCCCTTCTCCCCACAGACATCGACGAGTGTCAGCGCAACCCCCTTCTCTGCCGGGGCGGCACCTGCATCAACACAGAGGGAAGTTTTCGGTGTGACTGTCCTCCGGGCCATCAGATATCACCAAATATCTCAGCATGCATAGGTGAGGCGTGCCGACAAAATCAGTGTTGCGCACAGCTGTTTATACTGCTCTCGCGCTTCACGTGCATCTGCAATGTTTGCTTCAGTTTCATTTTCATTCAGACCTAAACCACATTCCTCTTTTTCTTTTGCAACAGACATTAATGAATGCGACCTAAGCACCAGCCTGTGCCGAAACGGACGTTGTGTCAACCTGATTGGAAAGTACCAGTGTGCTTGTGACCCCGGGTATCAGTCCACGCATGACAAGTTATACTGTATTGGTAAGGGCAGAATCTGCACAGGGATCTCTAGTGAATAGGGAAGATAAACCACAAATAATTGTTTCATTTTTAGTAGTTGTAGAAAGACAGTTTTCTACTGTGATGCAAAAATGTAGTACGATCTGTCAAAATAGTATGCAAAGAAACCCCAAAATGTGCACATCCATTGCTTCCAAGGAATGAATGAAATTATGGCAGTGCTACAGTTAGCTGTGTAATAGCTTATTTTCTCTAGTAAATCAGTCGCTATGCATAAAATAGCATACTGTTTTAAATGGCCTAAGACTTCAGACTTTGATCATTAAGAGGGAGTACCTTGTTAAAGCCTAGATTTGAAATCTAGATTTTATTCAAAATCACCTTTCCTGACAGACCGTGGAGTAGAATCACGTGGTTCAATTACATTTTTCCTAATATGATCTGCAGTTGTCTCAAATTGCAGTAGCTATTTCCTTAAATCCACATTTTGTAGATGACAGTTAGCTTAAATCACGTGTCGTGCACTCTTTTACGTCCATACATTTTATTGTGCCACGGAAATACATGAAAAATCCACTGGGTTTAATTCTGCCTGGTAGATAATTTTTTTCCCTTGATCCTTGCAAAAACTTTGTTGCCTTCATGATACTGTGGTAACCCAACCCAATTTTGTGTGTAGAAAGAGAACTGCAGAGATATTTGTACATGCAGGCAGATGATATTGTCCCTTTCCCTCCCTGGCACTCATCCCCATGCCTGTGTTTGCAAACACTTGAATGTTCAAGGAGTGTGCAAATATCAAGTGTAGATTCTGGACTGATGCTGTTCTGGGAAGCTGACTGAAAGCGTGACCTTGAAATGTGCTTTAAAGGCAAAAGAACTGTGAGCTTCAACTGTGATTTTCTCCTTTTCAGATATTGATGAGTGCAGTATCATGAATGGTGGCTGTGAGAACTTCTGTACAAACTCGGAGGGCAGCTATGAATGTAGCTGTAAACAAGGCTTTGCACTCATGCCAGACCACAGGACATGCACTGGTAAGGGAGATTTTGGGAACTTTTCTGCTGGAAGAGTTTATTTCATTGCTTTAAAAACAGACCTTCTTTTGATGATTAAAGCTGTTGTAACAAATATATTGTTTAAAAAAAAAATAATTAACACATGGAAAGTGAAGTTCTTTTTCTAAAGTAAACATCTTCAGAGTATTGGAATCAGACAACTGCAGACTAGATTGCTTTGAAGGAAACTGATTCTTCATCTTTTCAGAAAGTGTTCAAGTTGAGTCCAAGTTCGGTGACAAAAAGCTGTAATTTTTTCCGTAGGAGGTAAATTTTCTCCCTCAAGGTACCATATTAGGTCCAAATCCAAAATGTGTTGAAGTCAATGGAAAAAATAATCATAAACATAAGCCAAAATGCTCTGCATATGTACTGTACTGTTACAGTAGAGAGAGAATAGACAGAAATGCTAGAAAAGGAGCTGATTGCCCTGTTGTGTGGTATCTGCTCTTAAGCAAGCAAGAAAATTCCTATTTTTAATTCTTTGTTTAGTCAGATGCAAGTATGCTGCATTACTTCAAAACTGAGTGGCTTTCAGACAAACTGAAATTGGAATAGTATGACTCTTAGGAAACAGCTCTCTTGCACTGTAAACAGGGCTTGTGAGAAAATTTTCAGAGCTCTGTAGCAGCCGGATGTTCTCCTTAGGGAGTGTGGGAGTCATAATCCCAGTTAAGTGAATTGTACTCGGTGATTTCCACATAAGTTACTGGACAGATAGTTCTACCCTACTCTTCCCTTACTCCTTGCTGCACACAACCGGCCTGCTGAGGCACGTGAATATTTGCCAGCTGTTTGCCAATTCCATCCAAGAGCTTGAAGAGCATGAGAAATACAACAGGGTTAATCCCTTGGAATAGAATTGCCTTTATATCTGAGCAAATGTAGAGGTTGCTATCCTGAGGTAATAGATAGAGCTCACATTTAGAATTTATAAATATTTATAGACCTCTGACCAGGGTCTCAATTATCCGGAGGCCACTCGCTGCAATTCCAAAGGATAAAAGAGTCTTAAAGCATAGTTAAGGGGAGTTTGCACCCCCGTTGTAGCTTACACTGTCAGGCAGATGTAAAGTAGCCAATCTTCAGCCTTGTTCAACAAAAGGAATCAACTAGGAAAAGTGCAAATTTGACTGACTCTGAAATTAGGTGTTTCAGAACCTAAAATATTTAGATTAGAAATAGTTTGCCTTAGGTCAGGTTTTGAGAAAGGCAAGTTTGTACAAAAACATACCCAAACATTGGTGTTTTGGGGCACTTTTTCAGTTCAAAAATAAAACCAGTTGATCAAAATTGTGCCTCAGCCAAAATCTAAACCCAAGTCAGGATTAGAGGGGCATGAGAGGGAAGGGAGGAGGGGCAGAGCCGGGGTCTCTCACTTTTCTATTTTCATCTTCTTGGCTTGACTGGGAACCAAATGATCCAAGTGCATGCTTGGACAGTCTTAGGGATCTCAAGTCTCTTGGCTAAGAAACAGTTCTGTGCTTTACTCCTGCTTGCCCTCAGCCACCCAAAGACATCTCTAAACCCAAAATGAAAGCAAATAGTTTGGAGCACCTTCCTGGGTATTAAAGTAAAAAAACTGGAATATGAAGCTATCATCTTTTCCCTTCTCAAAATCAAAAAGGGAGGGAACAATTGCCTTTGCTGTGGGGAGGGGGTGGGTTCTCAGTGTTTCTGTCCACTCGTGATGAATGTTTATGGTCAAGTTAGAAGTTTGTAATCAGATCTTGCCTGGGTGAGGATTAAAAAAATACCTGGTCTTAGTTGTGAATTTTTGTGTATTATCTATAGCCTTGACTCTGAAAAATAGAATTACATTCATAGGCCAGCCAGTAATAGCTATTAGCTATTCATTTTCTTACTCCCTTCTGAGAAAGACTTGAATGCAATAGCAAACACATAAAAAGGTTTAAATAGTAGAAACACTGGAGACCTTTGAATGTCAAGTCAAACTCTCACCTAAGAAAAGATCCAGGTGTGTGAGGGGTCACCGTCACCATCCTTTTAGTATCTAAAAATGCTGCCACCTTCCCTTGAGGAGATGTTAATTACATATATAGGTATCTGGTGAGTGTTCAAAATCCGCATGCTGAAATTTTGCCTCTCTGCAAACTGAGGGAAAATTAAGAAAAAATGCGTTCTGTGACCTTTTTTGCTCATTGCACTGAATGCCTGGTTTTACTGTGTTAGATGTTTGTGCACGGTACGAGATGTAATAGGACTGTGACCTGAGTATGAGAAACACCTATTTTACATTTTCAGTTTGCTCTCTGTGTGAACATGTCTTTTATCTTTAACATCACACAAAGCTAGGAGCCATTATGGAATATATTTCTTGATAATTGAGCTGGTAAGAATGCTGTTCAGTTCAGTAGTAGGTCAGGTTTGAATTGGTGAGGTTATGCATAAATAATCAGCTCAATTAGGAGAAACAACAGGTTCTTTGTCAGCTGATTTTCCCCCAACTGTGAAATCAGTACAGTGACAGGTTAGTAAATAACGTTCTTTATTTCTGTCATTATTATCCCCATTTCTAGAGCTTAATTTTGCATGTTAATTCAAATTCCATTCTAAATTAACATTTCCAGGCTAGTGTCCATGCCAACTTTATTTGCTTGTTAAGATGAACAGGGACTGGTCAGCCTTCTTCCTTGCTGAAGCTGTGTGTATCCACACAAGCACAAGCTGCTGGAAATAGAAGAATAATGAACATAATATTTTAAGTTAAAGTGAGTTCATTTTCTGCAGCTGCATAATTACTGCAATTCACAATAGACTGGTCTGATAATGAGTTATACCCTTTCTCTTGGAGGGGGTTCCTGAATCTTGTCCTTTTTGTGCTGATTTTTTTCCCATAGTATCACCAGGCAGAGTTGCTGGTTTTTGCTTTTGCTGGTCTCTGTTGGTGCTGACACAGGGAGATTCTAGGGAGTTTTACAAGGAACACTACTATAGCCCCAGGGACTCTGCAAGATTCCAGACCTTAGCGTGGCTGCATTAATATAGTGGAGTGTCTGCTTCTGCAGCTTGGCTCTATCCGTGATGGCCAGTTTCATGAGCTGAGAAAGCAACTTAGATGCCAGAGCATGTAACTGTATGGCTGGCCTGGCCAGTCAGCCAAAATGCTAGAAAAACACCCATAAAATCTCTTAGTGGCATAACTATGTATTTCAATTATTCCCATCATGAGTCTGACTCTGTGTTTCCACTTGTCACCACCCCTGAGACATGTGGAGGTATTCTGCATGTACGATGGCTTTTTTAAGCTCTGCAAAGTCCGGTATTTTTGTCACTGAATTTGACCTCAGAGCTTCCATTGACTTCAACAACGATGGAGTACATCCAAGAATCTCCAATTGTATGTGACCATGTGGTGTGACAATGGTTCTTTATTTTTTTTTTGGTCAATGACTTTTCTGCCTACAAAGTTGGTTCCTGTTCCCACTGGAGTGAGAGGGGAATGTTTGCCATAACTTTAGCTGGAGTTGAGGAGCTTATTCATCAGGACCATTTTGCAATGTACCGTTCAGTTATTTGCAAGGATTCAATCTTCATCATGCTTATCAGAACATTAAAATGTTTGCTTGCCATGATCATGGTTAGTTGTGTTGCATAAAGGTAGCATATTTTAATCTGATTTTTCACTGTAGACATTGATGAGTGTGAAGACAATCCTAACATCTGTGATGGAGGCCAGTGTACAAACATCCCAGGAGAATACAGGTGTCTCTGCTATGATGGATTCATGGCGTCTGAAGACATGAAGACTTGCATAGGTCAGTGAAAGTACCTATTTTTCTATCTGCATTAACTAGGGAAAACTAATTGATTAAGGCACTATTTCCAAGTAGGCAGACAATGATATTTTAAGACTATTGCTCTTACTCCTTCATTCTGGCCGCTGGACCGTCAGACTAGCCCTATTGCATAAAGTACATTTATCAAATGCAGATGTAATCTCTGTATATCCCTGTAGATTGGGATGCACACATGATGATCTATAGCATCCTATCTTTGGGTCGTCTTCCAGTGAGGTTTCTGTGCAGCTCAGATGAAAGAGTGCTTGCAGAAAGGAGGTGCTGGTGGATGACGCCGTGGAAAATTTCTGTCAGAGCTGGTTTAAACTTCTCTAAGACAGAACTGTGTGCAAGTGCTGTACCTTGGTAGAAGAAAGTAATGAAACAGTGTGTCTCCAAAACCAGATTTCCACGTTTAAATTAAAAATCTGGAGTGTATTTGAAGATAAATACATATATATGTGCATATAGAAATGTGTATACACACACACGCCTACATATAGAAAGCATCAATAAATAGTCTTTGTCATTCTTTGGGTAGTATGCTGAATCTTAGTCTCTGGTTTTGAGGAAAGTTGGAATTAAAGGTGTGTTAATACAGATACAGCAATATAGCAGTGTTGAACCAGACCTCAGAATGTGTGCCAGGTAAGGGACAACCAACCTGAGCCGTTTTCTCTTTGTATACATAGATCTATTTTTGCACTAAAGCATCTTACTCAAGAGATTTTTACCAGTTACTTTCTAAAAATTTTATTTAATAAATCTTAATTCATGGTTTTTTTAGATGTTAATGAGTGTGATCTGCACCCAAACATCTGTCTGAGTGGAACCTGTGAGAACACAAAAGGTTCATTTATCTGCCATTGCGATATGGGATATTCAGGCAAGAAAGGCACAACTGGTTGCACAGGTATGTTTTAAAGTTACTGTTAACTTCTAGTTTAACTCGTCAGTCTGCATGGCCTTTTCTCTGGGGTTCAAAACCTCCTCTCACTGGCTACTTTTCACTTACTTGTGCTAAATATTTTATCCCTTATCTAAATTTGCTGAGTTTGCATTCTCCTTAACCTCAGTGGCACAGCATTCAGCCTGATGCTGCTTCTGCTGAAACAAGTGACAGAGTGTCCACGGGGAACAAAACTGGGCTTAGGACTGCATTGCTGTGGGTCTAAGAGAACAGAAAATGCCATCGCCTGTAGCTTGACAGACTCCTGAGGACCTCCCTGCATTTGGACTGGTTAATTGTATACTACGCACGCAAATAACGGATATCTGTTCCAAGTGTTATTTTGGCAAATGCAGATGGCTTGAAATATGTGCAAAAATATATTTTCAGTTTTTGCAAAGTGGCAACAATACAGCTACTCAACTACGTTGGATCAGCAAAACCAGAATTTGCATTATTTCATGTATTGCCAGCAAACAGAAAGGAGATTCAAATGTATGGGCTCCGAGGGCATGATATTAATAATCCTGGTGCTGGTGTCTCAAGCCAAGGTGTTGAGAGTCGTAGGCTTTGCCCAAATATGAGTGCAAACATATGTGTAATATAATTTTTGATGTAGTCTTAGGGTAAACACATTTCTGGCAATGTTTTTGAGACGAGCTTTTATTCTTAGCCTGCCCTCATTGTACAGAGTTAATAATATACTTCTGTAAGTGCCCCGAATATATGAAGCTGGCTTTTTGCAGCTCGCGCAGAACAGGCTGAGAGCTGGAGTTGTGCTTCGCATATTGGACCGTGGACGAATAGTTGTGCATTAGTAACAGCTGCCTTTGACTTACATAGGAACTGATCTAAATCCAAGAAATCCCTAATTGTACCCTGTAGACCAACATTTCAATGTTCTTTGTTTCTGTGCTAAATTATATGAAGATCCTCAGTACTGTAGACCTGAAAACCCCCCTGCTGATCAGTTACACATGGCGCAGCGCTCGCTCCCAGCGTAACGAGGGGCGGTCAGGAGCCGTCAGGGAAGATGAAGCAACCAGTAGAAGGCAAAAGACAGAGGAAGGTCATGGGGCAGGGGAGGAATCCGAGGTATGGCTTCTGGGGAAGTGCCTGGAAATAGCCCTCATTTTGGCAGCATGTGACGCAGGGTAGTGGCACATGTCCCGAGCAATACTTTTTTGTTAACGGAGAGGCAGGGAAATCCCTCCCTCCTGGCCCCAGCCAGGCCCAGCCCTCTGGATGGATGCTGTCTGCCGCGTGGGCTCTTCCCACCACCTCGCACGTCTTTATCTTTCCCTCAGCCCATCCTCTGCCGCTTTTGGCTCTATGCCGGTGTCCCAGGGAAGATGGCACTCACCAGGAAAACTGCCAGGACACCTTATTTACAACAGGTGCTGTAGAGGGGCTCAGAGGTTTGAGGCAAGTATCAGTTATGCTGGCACAACTGAGATGAGACCATAGTCAAATCGCCATCATCTTTTGGTTGTAAATATGGAAAGGGAAGAAGCAGAGCAGGAACTTTCTAGGTTGGTTTCACACTGAAGAGGCAGTGTGGATACAGATCCCTTTGTGACTACGTTGTACAGATTCTCACATTGTGGTTTTTAACAAGCCTGATGGAGACCTTTGAATTCCTCACCTCATGTTTGCACAGCACTAAGGCAGAGCTGAAGTGCCTAGGCTCAGGTACTGGAGACCATGAGAATATCCTTCAAGACTTCTTCTGGAGGGACCTTGCCGACAGCACCTTGACCCCAGGATTCAGTTCTTGTCTTAAAGAGAGATCAAAAACATCCACAGTTTTTAGGAACTTCCGTGGAAAAAAATTGCAGAAATGAGTACAACGCTTTGAAAGGGAGGTTCTCTGTTTCACGAGAACAACTAAATGATGTCCTCTGGGTTCTATTACAGTTTTGTCTAAATATTTCAGCTCCCTTGTCATTACTGATTGTTTCCATTTTAACAAATAAACATGTTTTTTTTCCCCAATCATTTCACAGTATTCAGAATCCACCCACTGACTTACATTGCCATCCCACACAGATGTTAGTTCCCCCCTCCTTGTTTCTGATTATGAATGTGGACAGAGTTTGGTGCAAAAATATAATCTAAAGAAATATACAAAAAAATACATTGTAGATGTAGGTTTCCTAGGGGAAGTTCAGCAAATGGTTTAATTTCCATTCACAAGGCAAACTGTGGCAAGACTGACCTAGAGCAGTTAATTTTGGAATTTTCTAGGCAGGCAATGGTACCTAGCCACTAGAGAAGAGATTGCCTGATTTTATGACAAATATCTTGTCTCTGCTTTTTCTGTCAGTCAAGCGTACATGTGCTTGTGCAGAGATGAAACCCTGTATTGGCACTTGCATTTGTATTTTGTGATTCATCACCGCTCTGGAGTATTGCCTGTAAGTTTGCCATATTTCACTGTTGTTGTAGAGCCTTGGATTTACTTGCTTTAATATTTTGTGAGGAACAAATTCTTCTCTGACTCTCTCCCATCCATCCTTGCCAGTTACGGCGGTGTGTGCTGCTGATGGAGCCAGGCTTGCTCCTCACATAGCCAAACCCAACGAGGTGAACTTGGGGGGAGATGGAATGGTCGTCAGATTGAAAATAAATGTGCTTTAGATGTCAGCTGGGTTTCTCCAGGCTCAGGGAGTTGGAGGGCTGAGACCAGGCTCTGACTCTGCAAGGGCCACGCTGGTGCCGTTTGGAGAAAGGCTGGTGGAGGATGTCCAGCTCCGGCCGTGGTGTGAGGTTAGAGAGTTTGGTCCTGCACGTGACGTGCTGTCATCCAGTACCGCTGGATGAAGGAGGAGCGAGCGCACACTGTACTTGCATGGCTGACAATAACATGCTTATAAAGAGAAGGACACCTGATATGGTGAAAGGACGAGGTGAGCCCTGCCGTTTGCCCTCAGAAATAGATCCATAATGGTGTGTGACCTGTGTAATCTGCTTGCCTCTCTCCCTTACCTTTGGCTTCTGGCCATTAATAGTACATTGTGTTTTAGTCTTGATGGCACAAGAGTTCTAGTATCAGTGAAACAAATAGCATTTCCCCTTATGAATCTGGGAGCTGGCTGTGTCAGGCCAAATACCAGAAGGTAATAGTCTTAGAAGCTGCCCACCGAGTGGGGGTATTACAGAAGGAGCGTGTTGGGAGTAGGCGTCTGTCCAGCAATAACACGCTGCGCCCCAGGCTGATGACGTAAGGGTGGATAGCAGGCAAGAACTGAGCTGCCCCACGGGAAACTCCAAGAGGTGCTTACAGTGCACTTTGCCTAATCAAATCCGAGAGTGATTCCGAAAGAGAAAACAGTTTCACAGGTATCGAAATCAGAATAGGGCAATTCTTCCGTTTATTTTTCTACTTGTGTGAGTGCAAAGTTGAGACTCACAGGCTTCTCCCTCTGAAAAGCCTTCCCGTTTACCTACCTGATTACCTGGGCAGCAACCCAGGAGAGGGAAATGCCTTGTGACTTCCACCAGACGGCTGGCCTCGTGGGAATCGGGCCCAGGCTTGAAATACCAGGGAAACGTCAGCGCGATAAAATGCACAGATATGGAGAGAGGGCCAAAAAAATTAAAAACTCAGAAAATGCTTAAGGGATTTGCATAATTCCTGACAAACAGTACTGATTTGTGGGCAGAGGCTGAATTAAATTCACACTTTCTTAAGAATCCTTCTAGACTATTGACACCCCGACAGAAAACGTAAACGGTACACAGAGTACCTTGGGGATTTCAGGCCCTGTGATCAACGCGTGAAGTTTTGGGGGTTAATATTCACTCCCATTCTGTTCGAACACAGAGGAATGACTTGGGTGTTCCCAGAGTACAGGTGAGAACGCAGTGACTTACCCCCGTGCTCCTCTCTGGCCGAGTTTAATGACCCGCTTCCAGAGTGAGTAGGGATGTGCTGTGCAGATACTGGCTGGCCATTTCTTTCATTTGATTGCCACGTTGGCAAGCTTAGTGCCAGCATGGCAGGTATATGTGACTGCTGCTCATCCACAGCCCTAAAAATGTGTGCCTCTCTGATTAATGGGAGAGGCGCTTTATTAATTGCCAAAGGCTTGAGAGAAAAAATATTTGTCCAGAGAAGAGAACTGAAGGAGCCAACAAAATAGGGTGAGTGACAGGTTTTTTTTCCCCAGAGTGCCTGGAATGGTTATGATGTCAGATCTGCATATTATTTATCATGCGTAGTCTCATCTGTTGTAGGCAGACAACTCCCTTAGTGTTATATGGGAGTTGTGCAATTAGGAAGCTGAGAACATGTGTGCAGCAGGACTGGGGCACAACGGGACCCACTGAGGATGCAGTGTCAGTCCCGGATTGGAATGTCTTTATTTTCCTTGGCTTGTCACGGCCTCATGCTGCAGGCAGAAGGAGGTTGATATAAATCAGTGACTCACTCCTTTACTCTTCAGTGAAAATCCGCCTGAAGTCAATGGGAATTGTGTGAAACCCTGACTTGAGTAGTGTCCTCCTGTGTGCTCTTTGGGTCACGGTACCTTTACTCAGACTGAGTAATACCTTTCCCTCAAACAATTACATGAAAATAGTTGAGTATTTGAAGAGCGGGGTACTGCTTGTACTGCCGTGCAGACAGCACAATCTGGACTCTTACTAAAGATATCTATGTTGAGTTAATTTTTCCCCTACAGAGCTCAACTTCTCCTTTTTGTTTCGTTCTGTGAAGCCATAATTCAATACTTATGGCAACATAAATCCATATTAAGCTCCAGTATAAGCAGGCATAAATTCCATTGATTTCACTGCCCCGTTTACACAGGACCGTGTTTGGTCTGAGATATCTTTTACCTTGGAAATCATTGCGATGCAATAAATTTAGGCTTATAACTCAGCTGTGTAATGAAAGGAGAGAATAGGGATTATAGCAAAACAACATCGGAGTTAAACTCAGATAGCTTTGAAAATCAGTAAAATCTGGGATGAAGCCAGCGATGGTATTTTATATGCCTCAATCAGCTTTCATTTAAGTATCTGAAAACCTTTCCATGCACCAATGAAATAAGCCCTGCGATGTCCCTGTAAAGGGAGATGGTATTAGAAAATATATTTTACGTTCCCTATTTGACCTTTACCCAGGCAAAAAGCATTGAAATCTTACCGATTTTTTTCCTGGAAAAAAAGCTGAAAAGGATTTCAGGATTTTGAACAAAGCAAGCGGAATGGCATTTCAGTGGGTAATCTCTGAGAAAGTTGATCCCATTATAAATACCCCTGTTTGGATCCAGATTTCTGCTCACAACTTTCATCCCGCAGAAGATGCCAAGCTTTTTAGTGCGCATGTCAAACAGCTGAAGGAGGAACAAGTGCCCCGCGGGACGTCAGGGGGGTGCAAAGCAGGTCAGCGCAAGGTGGGATGGGATGGAGTCCACAGTCACTGATGGAGAGTTGGAAATTTGGTTTAGATGGCCTTCAGTTGGAGCCTGAGCGTGACTTCATTGTGGTGTAGCTGTTGCATGCAAGTTTCTGTTTGTGTTTGCTCGTGGTTTAAAAAAAGTTCTTGGCAGAAACGTCTCCACTGCTGATGGTTTTTGTGTCGTGTTGCTGTGCTCCGCAGGGTATAAGGAAGCATGTGATTGTATGTTTCAAAGCATCAAATAATCAAATGCAGTCCGATCTTAATGTTAGCAGTGGTTTAACAGTTTGGGGCTTAAAATCATGTAGAGGTTAAAATATGGAGTGTTTGCCTCAGCTTTTTTATGTCAATGTATACTGTAGCTGACCTCTCAAAATTCCTTCTAGTCTCTCCCTTCAGTCCAAGCCAAAATGAGTGTTATTTTTTTTTCTGACCACCCTTAAGATTTTTGACAGATGCTATTTTCCTGTTTAGGGTGATGTTATCTTCCTATGAGTTTCTGCACATGCTAAAGGCAAATATTCTCTGAGATTATCTGCTTCTGACCCTTTTTTTTTTTTAAAGTTTTCAGAAGTAATTGTCCATTTGCATGTTTTCAGGCTTGTTGGTGCAGTCAACATTCATTACTAGCAGATTCCATCTGCCAGATTTAGATCTATATCTAGACTTCAGCATTCAGATTATGGGAATACTCATGTCTGGGGTTTTAATTCTAAGCAATGCCTCATTTAGAAAGAAACACAGAAGAGTAAGATTGGATGATATTCTACTATACAGGCTCAAAAAAAACCCCAAAACCCAAACACAAAATCAACCAAACAAAAAAACCCTAATTCAACAGTGGGTTTGGGTGACTTCTGGAATTTAGTATTTAATTGTAGGATGACAGACGTACGTTGTCTGCTTCTCAGAGTCACATGTAGCCCTTGTGAAAAGACAAAAATGTATGTACAGGGCATAGAGAAAGGGCACGGAGCCTTTTCTCTGAAGAAGAGCGGGCAGACAAACCTGAGACAGGCTAACGAAGATGGTACCCGGACACTTTCCCCAATGGTTCCACTCTCTTGCTCTCTTTAAAGAGCTAATTGTTTTTAGGTACAGTGGTAAGGCAACCGGAGTCTGGGGCTGAGAACCCCGAAGGTTGCTTCATGGTTGATGACTGATACCTTTTCTTAATTGTCTTCTGGAGAGGGGTCTGAGCTGGGTTGTTGTGTGTGCAGTCACACAGAGTTTGTGAGCTTGTTTTCCCTTTTTGTCAGCTGTTGTACAGAATGAGATGATTTGGCTTACAGCAGTAGCAAAGGCAGCTGGGAGGGCTGGAAAAATTGATATAAAAGTTAACTGGTTTGACGTGAATTCTAGGTAATTTCTATCCTGCATGGAAGTAAAGTACAGTTAGAGAGAGCTTGCTAATAGATAACACTGTAAAATCCATAGCTCAGATGTGTAAGAAAATTCCTGCCTGTTTTGTTTTAGTTACCAGTAGTAATTTCTGAAAACTTTGCCTTGAGTTTATACTTCTCCAAGTATTTATATGGGACATTAATACAGTTTTGTGACAAGGCAGAATGGAGTTCAGTTTGCTTTTTTCTGTCTATACATTTTGACATTGCCAGAGAATGCCCAAGAATGAAAATAAGGTGAAAATAGCAAGTACTGAAATAGAATGTGCTGGCATGAATGCGTATGGTGAGGATTGGATGACTTGCTGCCTCGTATCTCCAAGGATGCTGGCTTTTTTCCACCCTGTTAGGTTTCCTTAATAAACTGCATGCCTGATGAGCTTTGCTTTGTGTCAATCAGCTGTCACGCTGTATACAGTGATACAGCCTGTCCTCCACCTTCCACAGACTCCTTGGCAAAGCAGAACCTGGCTTTGGTAACTGCCTAGGGATAATCCTAGGAGTTTGCAGGTAGCCGGCTGGTGTTCATCAGCATCCTTGCAGTTATGGCAGGCATTGCAGGAGTGCTGCTTTCCAGGAGTCCCTGGGCAGCAGGGTGGCTTCTGAGACCTTTTACCAAACCTGCAGACTCCAGGGTGGGCAGAAGGGAAAGCTGTCATCTGTCCCTAAGTCATGTTAAGGTATGGCCGAGACGCAAGCCAGTACATTGTAGTGGTGTCTCTCTGTTGTCAGGGGAGCACAGGACTTCACACCAGCTCTTAGTCATCAGATTTGACCCACAACCTATTGCAAAGCTGCTTGACAGACATACATCCCAGGACGCTGAACACCTGCAGTGGTAAACTTTGTGGATGCTAGTCCTCTTCTTCCCAAAGGCTGTGGCCTCACGTTCTTTCTGAGCACACCAATTAGAAAAACAAGGAAAACCCAAGTTACTGTTTTCCTCCTTGAATATACAAGTTACCTGGCTTTGGAGTGACCTGCAGAAGGAGTGCTTTACATGCCCATCAGAAAAATAGAGAGTAGGGCAGCACGTTGGAGATATGCTACCTGCTTCTTTGCTTTTCTTTGTTGTGATTTTCTTTCTCTTCTGCATCGTTTTTAAACATTGTATTATAAAGAAATGCAGGCTTGCTTTCATGTTCGCGTTGTCGTTCTTGAGAAATCCCAGTATCGGTTGTCTGGATATGAGAAAGTTTGGTCCATGAGCTCTTCAACCATCTCTGTGTTTTTACAGATATCAATGAGTGTGAAATTGGAGCCCATAACTGCGATAGACATGCCATATGCACAAACACAGCCGGAAGTTTCAAATGTAGCTGCAGTCCTGGCTGGATTGGAAACGGTATCAAGTGCACAGGTGAGGGTCAGATGCATTTGTGTTTATTTGTAAGAACAGACCAAGCAATGCTGCGTCCGAGCAATTCTGAAAAAAACAATACCACACCTACAAATTGAGAGACAAGTGGTTATCAGACTTGTTAGGACAATTTGACATGATCTGTTGGAGGACAAATTCTCCACCATGGTAACTGTGAAATCAGCATTATCTCATGTTTGGCTTGTGAGATGGTGAAAACAGGCTGGACTGTGGAGAGAGGCGCCGTGTCCTTGTGGGAAGCTGATGGGAGGCAGTCTCCTGCTGCTCCCCGTGAAAACAAGATACAGGACTTAGTTTTGAGAGTGCCCTGCAGCTTCCTCATTCACCTTGTCAGGCTTCTTTGTTGGGCTACAAATAAGCTGTGCCTGCTCTTCCAGTCAGATGACCCCACATATGTGTGGGTTTTACTATGGAAGATTACTTGAAGTAGAGCTTCTGTGTGCCATACGCTATTGGAACTTTGTATTCGTGGTGTGGTTTTTTAACTGATGTCGCTTTTTTCTTCCCTTTTTTTCTTTTTTATTATTTTAAAGACCTGGATGAGTGCTCCAACGGAACACACATGTGCAGCCCACATGCTGACTGCAAGAACACAATGGGCTCTTACCGCTGCCTGTGTAAAGAAGGTTATACTGGTGATGGCTTCACTTGTACAGGTGAGCGTTGGATGACCTCCGGTGGTCCCTTGCAACCTAAGTCAGTCTACGATGCGATACACAAAGCTGTTAAACATGTGAAATTATTCTCTAACATGTCATCTCCTGTTGGCTTCTACTCCACCTAAGTTGCCTTAACCAGGAAGAAATACTGTGTATTATACCTAGCCTAGAGCAGTCACTTTATTCACTTGACAAAATGCAAGTTTACATTGAGCTTTCTTTTTTTTTGCTAGTTGGAGTGAGTGGCAAAATTATTGAAACAATTGCTGATCATGTAATTTGGCTGGTTAGTAAACCATTCCGTTGGCTACCTGCCGTGATGTTTCAATAAAAGAGCACATGCATTAAAATTACTTCGTAAAATTGCCTAGCGATGCTTTTCTTTCCACACGTGAGTGTGTGCTGTCTGCTCCCTTTACTGCATCACCCTGAGAGATGGTGTCAGGACGCAGTGCTGACATGTAGAATGGTGGAAGTAGCTGCTTCTGAAACCTTTTATAAGCCGTAAATGTGATTATAAAACGGTGCTAGAGAGATGTTTCCCACCCACACTTCAGTCTTCTGCTTTGAAGGCCAGAGTAGCTCATGTAAGTGTAGCCATCAGGAGCCCTGCTACTAGGCGGAGGATATTAGCGTTGTGGGTGATGCTACATGGAGGGGTGACCGTGTGTGAAATACAGCCGTGTGATAGACAGCTGATGGGCCAAGTTTTCAGCTGGTGCGGATCGGCTGTACTGTGTCAACTACAGCAGGGTTTTATGGCATCTGAGAGTCTGGCTCAGCAGGCTTAGGGCTGAATTTGAATCATTCCAAATTATAAATGGACCCTGGGGTTCTGTTTAATTCTCTCCATATAGTTTACTCCTGAATCTGGTTCGGTTTCCTCAGTTCCTTCATAACACAGTGCTTTTCCTTAATTTCCCATATGATGATTTCCAGGAGTCTATAAGCTATATCTTTCAAACGGAGTTTCTGCATTCAGCAGAACTTTATTTTTTAATTTTATAAAAATTTGGGTACTTTTTTGTTCGTGGATTCAGGAGGTGACTGTGACTCAAACTAGGGCCTGCAAGTGTTCTGTAAGCCCTCTGCCAAAGCACGTAGCATTCGCCCCGGTAGGCACTACCTTTGATTAGCCAGCCATGGACTTCTGCAGGCTCACACTGCCAGCCAGACTGTTGCAACAAGGAGGGTGTTTTGGTGATGGATAAAATTCCAGCTAGAGAGTAAGGGCCACAGTCTGGGTGAAAGGGCAGCGTACTCCAGTAGCAAGGCCGTTTTTCTCGTCAACCTGCAGTTTAGTTTTGATGGGGTTATTTTCACCTCAGTGCCACTTTTTGTCAGTGGTTTTGGGTGTTTGTCATGGAGACCACTTACTGCCATGTGTTTGCTCCTTGCACAGTAAACTTCTTTTTTCAGTGGCTGCCTCTAGGCTTTACTGTAACAGAAACAATAACTATAATAAAATGCACGTGCTCATTCTGAGTCTAAATGTGACCCTGTGTACTGCCTCCAATCGTTATTAACTGGGGCTACTTTAGGAGCCTGTGCCTCTTTCTGATGTTCCTTTTGGTTAGAAGCTGTATTTTCAACATGTCAGAAATACACCAAGCTGTTACACGTAATAGCCTCTGCACATAACTAGACTGCAGCTCCTTCTGCAGGTGTTCAGAGCTAATAGAATAATGAAGATCCTTGGGACACGGCATGCTTCAGCTGGAACAAAGGTGGGTGAGAAAACCATGCTTACTGTAACCCTGCAATTTCTCTTCCTTTTACAGACCTCGATGAATGCTCAGAAAACTTGAATCTCTGTGAAAATGGGCAGTGCCTCAATGCCCCGGGAGGATATCGCTGCGAATGTGATATGGGATTTTTGCCAAGTCCAGATGGGAAAGCATGTGAAGGTAATTCTCTGCAAGCTTTAAACAACACTCCACAAATTCTGCCTTAGTAGTATTTTATGTTTGAAAAATTTTACAATTGGTGGCAGTTGTGGTTGTATTGAGAACTGCATGAAAGTTGTCAGTAGTAGTTGCTTTTTTTCAGTTTATATGTTTATTAGGGGCCTGGAGGTGTTCATCTACCTATTGTATATAGAGAGAACAGCACTTTGGAGCTTATCTTACGTCGTGTTCCTTGTGGGTCTGATTGGTGATCCACATGGTGCTGTCAGCTGCCATTTCATCTTGGTCATTTGTGCCCACTTAATTTTATTCATACCAGTTAAACAGCGACGGTTGTTCCTTTGCCTTGGTGTATATGAAGCTGAAAAGCTCTGATTTGGTACTGAATACAGTGAACATGCTTTGAGGGCTTCTGAGAGGTGCACAGTCAGAGTCTGAAACCTTGCAGAAAGCTTATATGACCACACAAAAAAAAATATCCCATGAGTATTTGTTTAGTTTTGAAAGTGAGAGCTTTGCATCTTCAAAGATTCACAAAAACCAAATCATAACCATGTTACCAACATGATTAAGATCATATATTTGACTGTAACGTTTGAAATCCTCAGCTGATACAACACTAATCAATTAAGTCAGTCAAGAAGCAGCACCCATATCATCTGACATAGTAATAACTCACAGTAACTGGTATTTGATGGAGTTCATAAGTACATCACTATAAATAGGATTTTTTTCCCCTGAAAAGTGTTCTGTGTATTTTTTTTAATAATCTACCAAGAGAAATAATTTATGGGAGTGAATATTTGTGTAAACTAAAACAATCTTAGGTCTCATCATGTTTCATGAAACAATTTACTTTCAAACCTTTTAGCTAACTTTAAATAGCTTATACAGAGCTTAGCTCCTGTTGCTAAAACAGACTGTCCTGGATGCCTCAGATGTGTACGCTGAAGGCAGTATTTTAAGGTCCTTGGTAAACACACACTTTGCATTGTATCAAATTGGTTGTTCCTTGTGCGGTGCCTGCGGCATTCAGCAGATACTCGGTCAGGTGCAATGATTTGGACAAAAGGCACAGAAGTGAGCGCCGCTTGCCAAACATGAGATCTGTCAAATGCAGAAACATGAAGATGAGCATCAGGTTCAGCTTTGGGCACCAGCTTCTCCGTTACTGAGGTCCAGCTTTCTGCAGATGATTGCTGATTTAGAATAAACTTCATTTTTTAAAGCATAGCCCCTGCCATGTTTAATTTTGCTATTTGTCAGATTAGCCCACTAATAAACTGAGATTGTTTCTGGCGTGGCTTCCAGAGACACCGGAAAGAGCCTTTTGCCCAAAAAAGAGTTTATGGATTAGGTTCCTTAGGCTGCAAACAGAAATCTTGCACGTTGTTTTTCCTGGTCTTACGTGGTATGCGGGAGCAGTTGGCTTCCAGGTCCATGTTTTCTGAACCTTTTTCCAGTTCTCTGTATCTTAAAATGATAAGGAAACCTCCTATTTTTCCTGTCCTGTTCCTCTCTCAGATATCGATGAGTGCTCACTTCCGAACATCTGTGTCTACGGTACTTGTCACAACCTCCCTGGGCTTTTCCGGTGTGAGTGTGAAGTGGGCTACGAGTTGGACAGAAGTGGTGGGAACTGCACAGGTACAGATAATTTTGTTATAACACGCTTTTTAATGTTCTGTGGCTGTCGTGGTCAGTTCCTTAGGAGATTCTTTGAAAAAGCTGTACAAATCAGACTGGATATAGGAAAATACAGACTTCCCTACTGTGTAACACAGGATTCTCCTTCTTGCCTCTTTCCCCTTCTTTGTCAACCTCTGATACGTTGTTGGCTTAAGAGAATTAGGGGAAAAACTCCACTGTCTGTCCACATCTCACAGGCAGAGATGTGTTGTGCCTTGTAGTTTCCTCACAGTACTGGATGGTAAGCTGTGTATTTTTCCCTTAAGTATTAGTACTTTATGTGAATTTTAGTTCATAAATTGGTTTTCCAGGAAAAACACTTTTCTTTTACCCCCATGAAATGATGAATTCATCTCAGACTAGCGTTCCTCTAAAATGTGTATGTATTTTCTGAAGCTTTCTGGAGATCAGTGACTCATAACTAATGGCTTTGTGGTGGTCAGCGTATCACACTGCCCTCGAGTATTTACTTACTACGTGCTGGTTTTTCTTGCAGACGTTAACGAATGTGCAGATCCCACGACCTGCATTAGTGGCACATGTGTGAATACTGCTGGTAGTTACACCTGTGAGTGCCCTCCTGATTTTGAGCTGAATCCCACCCGAGTTGGATGCGTTGGTAAGACCACTCCTTATGTTATTTACCAGTCAAGTTGCACAGAGGGGCTGCAAGGCCAACTGCTTAGGAAGAAAGTCACAGGTTATGGAAAATGGATGGAACAGGCTCTCCAACTCCCACTCCACTGCCCCTGGCTTAGAAGTTGTAATAGCACAGCGGGAGTATGTCCAGAGTGGTGGAGCATGCCAGCAGTGCCCAGCTGCCAGAACCAACCCCTTGGGGCTTGTTACAGCTGGCTACAATTTACAGCAGGCATGAGACGATTTTGAATTTTGACAGGCTTAAACCAACATCCAGCTGGCCCCAAGATGGCAGGCGAATGCAGATGCTGCATAAAGCCACCCATGCTCTTGGAGCACTGAGCGCGGCTTGGCTAGGTGCAGCTTCGTGACTGATGGAAATCGTGTTGTATAAGGGTCCAACTGCTTAGTAATCCTCTGATATTTTTTGGCTTTTGTTGGTTTAAGAGGGCGTAGGAATGCTCCTCAAATTCAAATGTATTTGAAATTCCTAACGTTTAGTAAGTGCTTTCATGCTTCTTAACCTCAAGGAGGGGAGAAAGCAGTGTGTTTCTGGAACTGGCAGGGTGTACGAATGACAGGTGAAAATGTGAATCAAAACAAGGCAAGGCCTGGCTGAAATGCTGAATAAATTCCCTACTTTGTGCAAAGTCTGACAAAGCCAAGGGGTGGGGCACCACCGTCCTTCTAAGTGGGAAAAGCTGGACCCTTCTGAAGAACACATTACCTTCTTTGGCTGTTCTGCGAGAAATGAGAGCCATCTGAAAGTCGCCCTCGTGCTGAGATGATGCGTGGTGTTCTCCTCTCCCTAAGATGTGTTTGTTGTTGTGTGCGTTCTGAATAGATACACGATCTGGCAACTGCTACCTGGACATTAAAACTCGGGGAGATAACGGTGGTACCTTCTGCAGCAATGAGATCGGAGTGGGCGTTTCCAAGGCCTCCTGTTGCTGCTCCCTGGGCAAAGCCTGGGGAGTTCCCTGTGAACACTGCCCGCCTGTGAACACAAGTAAGTCAGCTTCCCTGGTTTAGGCACAATGGTAAAATGTGTTTGTTGGATTTTTTTCTAATTTAGCCAGGTAACTCAAATACTGGTGTAATCATTTATTGTGTACAAGCAGGAGACAGGTTTCCACTGGTCTTAACAAAAACTTTACTAGATTGTTTAGCCAGAGTATAATCATCACTGTTGAGAGTTTTCTGTTAAAAAAACTACATTATGAAATGGAAGAGCTTTTGATCTTACAGTGTGAAACCTAATGTTTGTGTGTGGCTGCTTTGTTACTTTACATTTAAATCACCTGTAATCACCTGATTACATTTTCAAAAGCAATCACGTGTTCCTACTATTTTAGGTTCATAAATCTATTTTGTTTTCAGCTGAATATAAGGTTCTTTGCCCCGGAGGGGAAGGATTCCGACCAAATCCTATTACAGTCATATTAGAAGGTAACGTTTATATTTTCCAACATTTACGTGTCTGAAATTATGAAACTCTTTGGTGAGTGTTGTTTTTCATGGAAAATCATTAATGAAATGTTTCTGGTTTTGTTTGAATAGATATTGATGAATGTCAAGAACTGCCTGGACTTTGCCAAGGAGGAAAATGTATTAATACCTTTGGTAGCTTCCAGTGTCAGTGTCCATCAGGGTACTACTTGAACGAAGAGACTCGAGTGTGCGATGGTACGTACCCTTCCCTTGACTAGGCTTATGCTTGTATTCTTAGAAAATGGTGACGTGTCAGCATGCAGAAGAATTAATCTGTCCTTGAAAAGGAACATAACCAGACCAAGCAACGTAAAGATTAAGGGTGGGAAGATTGGTACGAGTTGAAGTCTTGCATTAAGAAAGAGGCAATTTTCTTTCTTGTCCATGTTGAAATACATGTAAATTTTTGTTTAAAATTATCAGATTTTGATCAAAAACAGAAAGCCCAACATTTTTTCTTTAAGTAAAACGTCGTTTACTAACCAGCTACACAGAATAGCTGCTTGACAGTGAGTAATGAAGGTAAAGAGCAAACTTGCCCCATGAGTCTTCTGGGCTAGTTAGTGTGTCCATGCCTTTTTTCCACTGCTCATTTTGTCTCCTCATCTCAATTTCCAATTGAAAATACTGACTGTACTGCAAACCATCTTCCTTCCCCTAGCACAGTCAGTATTACATGTTGATAACATTACATGCAACTGTCAGGTTGTACTGCATATAAAGCTTTAAGTTATCCATCAGGTCCTTAAGTTTCCCATTGCCCAGGCTGACTTCAGCCTTCCAGACTGTTAATATATTGCCTGTGATGTGCCAAACGCTGCAGAAATACAGATGATTCAAGTCCTTAATTAAGGTTGAACCAAAGTACTTACCCATATTGTGCTCATGTAGCTCAACAAATGTTGAAGAGAAAATCTACCTCTCTGTTTTTCCTTAGTGGTGTGTCAAAGATACCTTGAAATGGTATGGCTAGTGAAACACATGGGAACTTTTAGGAACTGTTTTGCATTGGTCTTGTGTTTGGGTTTGGTTGGGGTTTTTTAAAGAAAGGTTAAAGTCTAATGATGAAGTAAACGTGGTATCGTGTTGGGTAAGCTGCTCCCTTTCCTGGTCAAACAGACCTGTCAGTCTGTGTTAGCATCACTACTTACTGAGATGGGCACTCCACAGGGAACAACTTTGGTTCTCCTCCAGATCTGGGAATCCAGAATGGATGAGATCCTCGAAGACTTTTTTTGTGCAAAAAGGTGCAAACCCCAGATTTCTGTCTCTGAGCTGCCTAGGCATATCAGAGTTCCATCTTCGTGTCACAGCCAGGCTTTCCAATGAGAAAGCTTCTGTGGCCACTTACTGCCTCTTTGTTCTCTTCTAGATGTGAATGAGTGTGACACACCTGGCATTTGTGGACCTGGCACATGTTACAATACCGTTGGGAACTACACCTGCATCTGTCCTCCTGATTACATGCAAGTCAATGGAGGAAACAACTGCATGGGTACGGGTTGTTTGGTTGGGCTTGTTTTAAAGCTTAGTGGTTTGAAAGCTTTTTAAAGCTTTGGGGCAGGGCTTCACTGGGCACAAATCAGAACTGTTTCTCTGCATTTAGTTATACAGGAATTAACTAAATGAAAGATCAAGCTTCTTTCATGAATTTTATTAATAAAGCAAAGCAGATCTTTCAGTATCTCATCAGAATTTCTCCTATGATTTTATATTTTCTGTGTTCATTCCTTCAAGTTTCACTTCAGCTTTAAAAGCTCCTATGTGTGAAACACTACCAATATTACGCAGACTTCACAGAAGGAAGTCACAAACTGTGTACAGTTCTTAGGGACAACCATGAACAAGCTCATGGTGTTGGGCTAAAGGCCAATATTAAAACCTTTGATGAGTTTGAACCTAGGGACAAGCTGTTCTGTAGTATTCTACAGTGCTGCAGCATCTGCTTGACAGGGCTCTAAAAAAAGTACATATTTGAAGGTGGTATCTCCTAAACCCTTCAGGTAGATCATCATCCATAAGAGTTGCTAGTGTATTGGCCTGAGTTTTTCTTCATTTTCACAGATATGAGAAGAAGTCTGTGTTACAGAAATTACTACGCTGACAATCAAACCTGTGATGGTGAGCTGCTCTTTAACATGACCAAGAAAATGTGCTGCTGTTCCTACAACATTGGACGTGCGTGGAATAAGCCTTGTGAACAGTGTCCTATCCCGAGCACTGGTATGTTGTTGCAGGGCAAAGCTATTTGAAAGCCTTGGTAACGTCATCATTACTATTGGTGGGTGTAACGTTGTTAGAGATGCTACGTCTTTGTCTGCTCTTCTGTGGCTAAAATGGAAGGATTCATTCCTTTTTTGGCCTGGAGGTGATCAGCGCTCGTCACAATGCAGGTGTATGTGGAGTGTTTTGTGTTCATGCTGCTGGGCCTTGCCTGCTTTGTGACAGTTTCCCTGGCTGAGAGACTTGATGCTCTATATTGCTTAATCTGTCTCTTTGCAAATGCTTCTTGATCCAGCGTTGAGGCACTGACCAAGGTTTTACTGGTACTGCTCCAACAAACACGGTGTCTGCAGTGCTGTGCCTCGACTGCTGATTGCCACATAGGGCCATTGTGGTAGCTGTGGGTTTACACAGGTACCTTGGTCACCTCTGAGGCTGATCTGTGTCAAGCAGCTAAATGTAAGATGTAGGAGTTTCTGTGGTAATTTTATGGGCATACAGGACTCTTCCACACCGGGTAAGACTGCAGAGGCGAGCCCAGGACATCCCACTCTGGTTGAGGTTTGCCTCAAGGACAAAATTCTAGACACTTACTTGAATTACTTCCAACTCACGGTTCAGGTTTTTAAAACTCAGATCTGGACTGGTACACAAAAAATGTAAGCACAGGGATAAGCCTATGCAAAGCAAAATCAGCACGTGATCCCAAGCCCTCTGTATCTTCTTATTTGCTGATTTCAGTGGCCTTTGAGTGAGCACCCAAGTGCATATGGAGCGCATCACACGGTGAGCCTTGGGGAAGGGTCTGCCTACCTTTGTGCAGGTGGTGCAAGAGTAGAAGAATTTTCTTGGACAAAGAACATACTGAATTTTTGACTGCGATTCATTCCAAATGCTTTAATCACTGCTTTGTCTTCCTGGTGCAGATGAATTCTCCACACTCTGTGGAAGTCAAAGGCCTGGCTTCTTCATTGACATTTATACAGGATTACCAGTTGGTGAGTTCTGCTTTCTGTTTTCAACTAAATTCCATGCCACCTCTGCCCAGGGAAGAAGGAGGTTTGTTTTCCCCATCATTTTTTTCATGGGAGGAATAACTGACAGAACAATGTAATGGAGTTCAACCCTTCCTTGAAGTCTTGAGTCTGCAAACTTCCTGCCTAGCTCCTCCTAGCTGGCAGCAATGATAATTGCTGCTTGTAATCAAGGCAACATAAAGCTCCAAAGAAACTGTAATCAGACCTGCATGAGCAGGGCACAGATACTGAGAATAAGAGGTCTGGGAGTAAGGCCAACCAGCATTTGGTCTGAGAGGAATTAGGGATCTTTCCTTCGAACTAAAGCAGAGATTTAATCTGACATTTCACATCAGTCCCCCTGTGTATTGGTTTGACACAAAAATCCCTTTTTTCTGCTCAGCTGGAATATTTCTCACATATGTGATTGTGTGTAACATTTGAATTGTGAGTAACAAATTGCAAAACAAAGAGAGGGAGAGAATGAGGAATTCTAAGAAAAGGAATTGATTAAATCCATAATGGGACTCCTTTTTGGGTTTATTCACACAAAAATGCAAACAAGAAGCAAATAATGTGCCCTGTAACAAACAGAGGCAGCACATAGAGAGTAACCAGGTGCTTTAGCGTCGAGCTGTTGTTGTGTTCAGCTAGTTAGATGGAAGTATTTCTAGCAAAGTGGGGAATGTAAATTTTAAAGAAGTTACAGAAATGTACAGTATTTATTATTTACGAGGTAATTTCTCAGAAAATGACCCCTTCTGGCTATTAGCATTAGCCCAAATTGCTGCCGAGTCCACTGGCGGTGCTCGGGCCGTTCATCAGCATCAGCAGGGAGGCCTTGGCTCGTGCTGACGTGCACTGGTACAAGCTGCATCTGCAGCAGCTGATGAATGTGCTGGGGGTGTTGCAGTCTGCTCTGCCTGCCCTGCCACCTCGTAAGAGCAGTGCGCTTCCAGGAGCCAAGGGAAACAGAAGGCCCATCCCTCAGAGGCCACCAGTGCATCCCAGTACGTGCAGAGCTGCGGGGAGACTGGTGCACAGAGCTTTACGCCCTGCGGATCACGGGATGTCCCTACTGCTTTGGGGTGGGGGCAGGTCTCGCTAGGTTGTGACACTCACCCTGCTGCTTTTGCAGAGGTGTTGCTCCTGTCCCTTAAATCTGTAGGCACAGGGCACGGGAACAAGGTAGCACCCAGTCTTCAGGGACATTCTGTGTACCCAGTAATATTTGGTACAGTCCTTTCATGATGTTACTTTTCTCCTTGGATTAAAGTTCTATATATCAGAATTAAATATCTTGTAGGCCCCTTGAAGGGTCCAACAAGAAAGCAGGGGAGGACTTTTTACATGGACCTGTAGTGACAGGACAAGGGGTAACGGGTTTAAATTGAAAGCGGGGAGGTTTAGATTGGATATCAGGAAGAAGTTCTTCCCGGAGGCACTGGGACAGGTTGCCCAGAGAAGCTGTGGATGCCCCATCCCTGGGAGTGTCCAAGGCCAGGCTGGATGAGGCTTGGAGCAACCTGGTCTAGTCGAAGGTGTCCCTGCCCATGGCAGGGGGCAGGGAACTGAATGATATCTAAGGTCCCTTCCAACCTAAACTGTTCTATGATATTTACTCCAGGTAGTTATTTCAGAGACAGAAGTATTTCTGCTTTTACTCATCCCTTGTATAATCAGAAGACTCAGAATTACAGAATCTAATATAGGAAATGAAGGGTTTGGTAGAGCAGCAAAATTAAAAAAAAACCCACATTATCTGATAGAAATTCATGTTACCCGACAATTTTCCCCCATATCCTTTGTCTTGTGCACATCAGTGCATGAGGCAATTTTTACTAAAGGGAGAGGCTTTGGGCGAGTCTCTGATCTCTTTCACGTTGTCGGAATATAAGAGATCTGTAACTTAAGGACCCAATAGACAAGACACATAATTGTAATAGCAGCTGGGATTTTTAGCTGCCAAAATCCGTTAACTCAGGTGTATATAGAGCATTGGCAAACCCAGTCTGCCTGGCTTAACCAATCTAATTAATCATGGCATGCTGGCAGCACTTCAGATGTTACCTGGCATTGGCGCTTTCAAACTGTTACATAAAAACTTGAAAGTCTTTTCAGATTAACAAGGATAAAATAGTGCAAAACTAATTCTGACAGGTGTTTACATTTAGTCGTGCTCTCCTGTATCAAAGCAAGGACCGTTACGTTGGCTCTGTTGGGCTCTTCCCAATAACTCCCCTGTAACAGCCGGAAAGGTGAGGAGTTTCATGAGGGCTGCAGGTGGGAGCCATGAGGAGGGACACGTGCCATCCTCTGCATTCCTAAGGGGAAGGATGGATCTTGGCTACAGTGAAGAGTCAGAACCTGAGGAAAGAGGAAATACCTGTGTTTCCAGGGTTTGGAATGACTCGCTGTCTGTTGCAGTTGGGAACATTCTGATGCTTACACCATACATTTGATAATTCTCTCAAGGATAAGTGCTTAAGGACATACTCTGCAGCAGCAGATTTCATGAAGTGCTGTTTACAAATATTTAAAAACATTTCTTCCTGCAGATATTGATGAATGCAGAGAGATTCCTGGAGTGTGTGAAAATGGGATCTGTATAAACATGGTTGGCAGCTTCCGATGCGAGTGTCCTGTGGGTTTCTTCTACAACGACAAGCTACTGATCTGTGAAGGTAGAGTGCTGATCTCCTTCGGAGAAATGGGGTTTAACCAGCTGGGACTTCAGACACTGACAAATCTGATACAGTTGTAAATCGTCCTTCATGAGGAGGAATTACCAGTATCAGTGTAGTAAGTCTGTGTTAATGAAGACTTTTTTAATTCTTCAGAAGATACCAGATTTTCCATAAGACAGCTAAGGCCTTGAAGGAGCGTGAGTCAGCAGTCATGGGGAGAAATGTTGTTTTTCATATTTGATAGTAAAGCCAAGAAAAGAGTAGTAGTCTTGGGTCAGATCATGAGCACAACTTTTTTTAATTCCAAGATCTTGTTTTTCTAAGGAAACAAAGATTTCTGTAAATAATATAAACACATGATAATTTTTTTCCAATTAAAACATTTCCTAACATTGTATTAGTCAGTTGAATGGAGTAACTGAAGACAGCAGTATGAGTTAAATAGGAATGAATTTTACAAATGGAGCGTATGGGTTTGGGATCAAGTGCCAGCTTACCATAACAATCCAATTCCCTTTTTGTGTTGACAGATATCGATGAATGCCAGAACGGACCAGTGTGTCAGCAAAACGCAGAATGTGTCAACACAGCTGGTAGCTACCGTTGTGACTGTAAACCTGGCTACAGGTTCACATCAACCGGCCGCTGCACTGGTGAGAACTCTGGCTTCTTTGTGTGAGGGTGTGCAAAAAGCAGTGGGTTTTAGAAGAGGTCTAAACTAGCCTACCTCCCTCTTCAGAAAGATGGTATACTGGGAGATGATCTGGGCTCCAAAAACCCTCCTCTTAAAGCCTTTCAGGGTATCCCCATCAACATTCTGTTAATGCCCAGAAGACTGAAGGGGCCCATCCCATGGGAGTGTAAATGAGAATTAATCACCTGAGTAGGTGTTTGTCTTCCACTTTATCCCTCCAACCTCAAACATTTTTCATTCACCCCTGTCTTACGTAAGGAGAGAAGACCAATTGGTCCACTGCTTTTTAACTACTTTCTGACACTAAAAATTCAGTTGTGATCCTCACAAGGACCTTCTTCTGCATAAATTCTTTGATTTTCATTATAATTTGCTAAATATGTTTTAGCAGTTTATTTGCCACTTACATTTTTACAAATAAATCAGTGCTTGCTGGGGTCTCTGCTGGTAAGGTGGGCTTATCTGCTAGGCTGCATGCAGTAACTAACTTAAAAAGTTTATTGTTAAACTTCCTAACTTTTCTGGGGATTTAAACATTAAACATGAATATTGAAGGTTATTTTTAAATATTCACTGAGTGGGACTACAGTTCTGTAATCTATTTGCTCTTTCTCCTAATATCATAATCCAAAGGGGCATTCATGTTATCTTGAGTGCTTGAAGAATTGCAGAGATTTTAAAGGCTGCTGTGAGCCAAGCAGCTGTAAATATTATATACATTTCTGAACAAAATAATAATTACAAAGGAAACTGGTAACATTTTCCTTGGGTTTTTTGCTTCTGGGTACTTGAGTTTTAGGAAGTGGAATTTTCCCTGCAGTGCAGTTTTGCATTGTTTCATGTGACCCCTGAGGGAAAAGGGTGTAGGGGCAACCAGTCACTCCTATGAGAACTAAACCTTTTGTTTTGTTAAGCTATGCAGTGGCACATGTAAATATTCAATATGTTCCTAATCTAATTGTTGTTGTTATGGGTTCGTTACAGCAGTACAGGAAGAGCCAGGGAAGGTTCTGATACGGGTTACAATACCCAACATGAAATAGCACCAACAGTAATACTTCCCTGTATTTTGCCCTTATTTTATATTTAGTGAAAATAAAGTTACACAATTAGAGTCCAAATAGAAGTGGTTGATAAAGTACTTGATCCAGCAAAGGAAGGAAATTCCCAGCGGCTCTGCTGAGAGTGAAGGGTTTAAAGCACCTTTGCAGTATTGGATTAGTCGTGCTGCTGCTTGGAAAACGATCACACCCCAGCAGTTTTCATGCTGTAGAAGCAAAACTGATGGATCAGAACCACTAATACCACGAGTACTGCATTTATCTTGCTATCCAAATAGCATTCTTCTGGCGCTTTCTTTTGTGGTATAATAAAGAATTCTTCATATAAACTCTTTTTTATCATTTAGGACAATTCTACCTCCCAATTTTTTAAAAACTCATCATGTTCTCTTTTACCCCAAAACAAGTGACTTTTCCGTGGGACTTTAATTCACTATTCATGTGCCCACAGAGCACCAAAGCCAGTCAGAGTTTATCTTTCATCTCTACTCTCCCGAGCTGAGAGGATCAGGAGTTCTTAATACAGCATGTTACTCCCCACTATTGGTTTCTTTTCTGCCTCCTTTAGACTTCAACTAACAGCAGTGTCATTAATAGCATTGGTCTTCAGTGAACACCCACTCAAAGTTACCAGTGGCCCCAGTTGTGTCCCAGTTCATCCTGGGAACAGGGGCTGTTGGGATTGTCTATATTCTAAGTAGAGAGGCATCAGAGGCAGGAAGACAAGATTTAGTACATGAAGTTCTTTGCAGTTAGGAACAACTTGACTCTTAGTTTTGCGATGAATTGGGGATGGTTTGGTAAGAAACTGCGGCTGCTTCGTGTAGACTGCATGTAAAAGAAAAATACTGAACAGTAAAATCGAATTGATTCCCGTACAAGCTCATGGCAGCACCTCAGTTCTCATGTTTTGGAGCTGCAGCAGACAAAACGCCAGGAAGCATATTGAATCAAACCAGCTCGTGTGGGTGATGAGGCCAAAGACAGACCTCCTTTGATTCATGTTTCTGGTTTGTTACGGAAAAAAAATGTGCTGGACAGCAAACATTTGGTTCTGTGACATTTCATTTTACTTACTGTCGATAGGATCCTGGACTCCTCATGAAAGCATCTGTAACAAGAGTAGCAGGAAGCGGTCAGCTCTCGAGCGAGCGTAATAAACGTCCTGCTATTGTAAGGCAGCATATCACAGGCTGGCAGGATGGCTTTCCCCATCTCTCTGCAGAATTCTGCAACTGAGTCTTTGCTGCTGTTGGCAAAATGCTTTCTGACTCCATCCAGCGGTAACTCTTCTTGCTGTTTGAGCTTCGTCAGGTTTACAGGATCATCACGCTGCCCGAGGCACGGATGCTACCACCCATTTGTATACATGTTCCCATCTTATCTCTGCGCAATGAGTAGATCAACCTGCAGTACTCACAGTTTTATCTCTGTGAGCTTTGTGAGAAGAGTGGGGGATTCATCTTCCTTCCTGTTTTGTCTGATTTCGGAGAGTTTGGGCTATAATCAAACATAGCTAAAAGCAGGCAGTTGCTTTCATGAGAAGGATATAAGCTGTGATTTGTACGTGGCTTTCATATCTGCTGCATAGTCAAGGTAGAGCGCTCAGCAATCTCCCTGTACGGTTTCATGTCATTGATTGTGCTTTTCAAAGCCATGGTGATATGCTCTCCCTCCGGCAACAGCTTGTGTTTGGTAAGGATAATTTTTATGCTAAAGTTTTTTCAGCCCAAACGTTGGGAAAGGTGATTTACAAGCAAAGAGCCCCTTTTCTGCCATTCACTTAGTAATGCTTTTGTCATTAAAAAATTTAAAAATAGTATTTTAAATTAGGGCCATGCACTGGATTCTAACTATCATGGTTGCTGCTAATGCATCTTTCTAGCCCGGTAGTTTAGAAGCCTTAAGTTTCCCTGTAACTCTTTGTTTTCAGATCGGAATGAATGTCAAGAAATTCCCAATATCTGCAGCCACGGGCAGTGTATCGACACTGTTGGAAGTTTCTACTGCATTTGTCACAATGGATTCAAGACCAATGATGACAGAACAATGTGTATAGGCAAGTACATAAAATTAAGCTGTGCTTTGGCTTCCATTCGTGTAGTTATTAAGTCTATCCTCTCTGTTATAAGGCATTGCATTACAAGAACTGAGACTGTGAGGCATTTACCACCAGGCAAAGGTGCAAAACCAGCATAGTTGGCAATTAGGAAGCTGATAATGAATGCAGAACATCTCATTACAGCAGAGTGAACCTTTAAAAATACATATCCTGTCGAACTGATAATGCTTTCATTTTTCAGGAAGACGTTCCATTCTTAGAATTTTCTGAAGCGTTTTGTCTCATTTATTCCTGTAGGCAAGGAATTTAATGGATGAATTGCAAGGCAGCAATTGTATACAGCCTACTCGTTAACAGAATAAGTGCAGGGTAGATTTCGTGCCAGAAAAGTGCCGTTTTCAGAAACAGAGTCATCTTCATAAGGAAGGAAATTCTGCATTTAACCTGTTCGCAGCTGTTATCTGTTAGTGTAGTGTCTTGTCTGAGCATGACGAGGAGATTTCAGAAAGCTTATGATTAGGGATAGCTTTGAACTCCTTTGGGATGGGTGAGGTAGGAGCCACAGTAACATAAATGGTTGTTGGACCCTTGATTATTTTTGTAGATGTTAATATCAAGTGTATAAACCTGTGTAAAATCATCTTTTTGGGAATACGACAATCATTTTCCCTCCATTCTATTGGCAGTGGATTATTTCTCTTGCCTCTGGGATAGGTACAGACTTCCCTTTCCCCATCAGTGATTAAAATTCTTGCTGTTTCTTTTTGGTTCTTTGTAGATATTAACGAATGTGAGAGAGACGCTTGCGGCAATGGAACCTGCAGAAACACCATTGGCTCCTTCAACTGCCGCTGCAATTTGGGCTTCATCCTCTCACACAACAACGACTGCATAGGTGAGGAGTGCTGAGACCCCTTACATCTTTCTAAGACTCTCTACTTCTAGTGCAAGTACCATGAGTACCATCTTCTCTGTTGAGTTAGGACTGCCCCTTGCGTGGTCTGCGTGATTAAAGATGAAACCCGATTTCTTCACTCTGAAACGGCCTCTGTGATTATGCACTCCTCCCTTTTCCATCGCCACTTAAACGCCTGTGTGTGAAATAGGACATTCCTTTTTTTCGTATTGCAACAGGGATTATTTATATGTTATCAGTTACTGTGCCAGTAGAGTGGAAACAGAAATCTCACCTACCCAATTTCACTCGTTGCAGGTGCTTGTTACATATCTTTCGATGTTATTTTTCTTAGATGTGGACGAGTGTGCAAGTGGAAATGGAATGCTCTGCAGGAATGGTCAGTGTGTGAACACCATCGGGTCCTTCCAGTGTCTTTGCAATGATGGCTACGAGGTGGCTCTGGACGGAAGGACTTGCATTGGTGAGTGGTTTCTTTTAGGGTAGAAGAAAGCACAGCAAACCTTGAGGAGATAGTCTTCGTTAAACAGTAGAAGAGGTCAGAGAGAACTGTTACACTGTTGTCATTGTACCTAGCAGAAGAAAACAAGGACAAAAGGACAAGAAGAGGACCCTTCTGCTCCTGGGAAGTTCCACCATGGAACCAAAATTAAAGCAGCCTCAGCCACAGATTTATTGAGATAACAACAATATCTCAAATAAACTGTCTTTCTTTTCTTTTAGATGTCAATGAGTGTGCACTGGAGCCTGGAAAATGCTCACCGGGCACATGTCAGAACTTGGATGGGTCATTCAGATGTATCTGTCCTCCTGGATATGTCCTGCAGAATGACAGATGTGAAGGTGTGTATGGGCAAATCCTCCCTCTGTCCCATTTCCTTGCTACTCACGCTTGTTACCACTTCCCTCTGCATCTAAGCATATGTAATGTTCAGTCTTTCGTGGCAGTGTGCAGCTCTGAACTGTAGCCACTGGCAAGTCACTTCCCAGAAAACGTTTCACCAACTAGAACTCCCTGGTCTGATCCCAAGAAAAAGCTAATCCCAGGCTGTTCGGTTGATGGTACATTGCTGAGGTTTGCCCACTGCATGAGGATTTGGAAACTAACCCTGGATTTTGCACCTGGATTTCTCGTTCCTCTTTCCGTCTGTCCCTCTTTGACCTTTTTGTTGTTCAGACCTATTAGATACCAGTGATGAGGTAAGGTTACATTTTACATGGCACAGCTGCCAGCGTGGACATCTTCATTTCTCATCTTTTTAATTACTTCTCTTACAGACATTGATGAGTGCGTGGAACAGCCAGAAATTTGTGCCCTAGGCACGTGCAGCAACACTCCAGGCAGTTTCAAATGTCTGTGTCCGGAAGGCTTTGTGTTGTCTTCCACGGGAAGGCGATGCCAAGGTAAGTTCATTCCTGATTTCTGGCACTGCAGAATTTGTTTGCTGTTTTATAAAAGCCTTATTAGCTGCCTGTTTCTAATATAATGAGAAGACTCTGGACTCAGACAGTGTTTTTCACAAGGAAAACATGATAATTCTGTAGTCTGGGCCAGGTTCTGTCTTGCCCTAACATCTGTTTGTCATTAAAGAGGACACTGCAATAAAAGGGGCAAACGCAATGTTAAATGCAGCAGGTTAAGTGGAGAAATTGTTGCCCTGCAGCCCTTTCTTGCACCCCTGGAAGAAACGTTGAGGGTACCTGGACTTTGTATAGACTGTGACATGCCTTGACACGGAGACGGAGCACGAGCACAGGCAGAAAGTGATGGCAGTGGACTGCTTAAAGGCAACATTTCCAGGAATAAGGCTGCTCTTAGCACTTATCAAATTCTCCATAACGCTTGTTATACACTATTCCTCTCCCCAGATGTGTGGGTGGACAAAAGATAGATGGAAAAAACACGCAAATGCTGTCGTGTGGACAATAATTACCTATCTGTTTAGAAAAGTCTGAAGCATTTTTTGGCTTCTAGATTACAGCATGCACTGTTCAGAGCCTAAACATGGGCACCAAGACAGAGGTCAGGTGCTAAAAGCTTTAATGAAAAGCCCCAGGTTGGTTTGTTTTGTGGATAAAGAACGAGCACAGCAAATTAAGGAGCGAGTTATTCTAAAAGTTTTGAAAATGATTAAATACATTCATCGTTAAATGTCCTATACACAGTGTGCACAGTGGGAACCACTGATGAGTAAGACCTTTATAAGGACCTCTGTAATTATGCTTGGCACAGCGTGGTGATGCTTGTTGACACCATAGTGAGTTCTTCACTTCACAGTGGGCTAAATGAAACTGTGGTTTTGGTAAAAAATGAATCCAACCTGCTGCAAACATTCATCCAAGTCTCCAAACCACCATGCAGTTTGGCTCAGTTACTTCACTCAGCTTCAAGGAAGCGGCATGGCTGGTTGAGCTGTGCTTTTTGTAGCTTATATAAATGAGGTTTCTTCAGTCTGAGGGTATTGTTCTCTTCAGGTAAGGAAAAAAAAGCATAGAAAACCCCCAAGGAACAAATTCCTAAAAAAGAATTGTGCAGCCTGATCTTCTTTATGAAAACAGCCGACTTTCACACGTGAAGTCAGAGGAGTATGCACACTTGTGTGCGTGCACTTTGTGTGCTTCTCCCCATCCCCTGAAGACTGTTGTCCTTCAAGTACCTCAGGCCAAATGAAGTTTTTTTTAAAACTTCCCATTACCTAGGACTTCTGTAAAATCTGGACCTCGCCCAGCATTGATGCTGCAGCCGGAAAACTGGATGAGCAGCTGCTTCCACAACTGCCCTGTTGCTGTCCCCCTGCCAAGGCAGGGAGCTGCCAGCTCTCTGCCTGCTGGGTGCTTGTGGTCTGGGATCTCAGCTCCGCTCCAGCATCCTGCTTACCCAGCTGAAGGGAGTAAAATGTAGTGCCACTGGGCCACTTTTCTTTGCGTGTGTGTGTGCCCCAGGGAAGAATGGGGAAGGAAAGCGCTATTGAAAATTGCCTCTCGTTTTAACACTACGCAGTATTGTCGTTGCAAGTTGATTAAAATCTCTTGACTCAAGTGATTCCTACTAATAATGGGATAAGAATAAATTAAGCTAATACTCCATTTTTACAACAAGGAGTGAGGATAAGAGGGGAGTACGGTCCTCCCACCTCTGCTGGACAAAAGAGAAATCCTTTTCCATGACTGGAACAGGACACTCTCCCATAGCCTTCCTTTGCTGCAGTAGAGCGCTCCCCTCCCTGTTCAGCCCTTCCCCAGTGAGAGACAATAATGTCCTTCTTCGTAGACTCAGATGGTAGTTGGGTATTCTGTTAGGGGGGTCCTGTAATTTTGCAATTAATACCTCTAAGTGAAAACTGTGCCAGAGTAGCCCTAACTGCTCATAACAAGTTTTTTTCTCTACGCAGATCTGAGAGTAAGTTACTGCTTTACCAAATTTGAAGATGGGAAATGTTCTGTGCCGAAGTCCCGAAACCACTCCAAGCAAGAGTGCTGCTGCGCCTTGAAGGGACAGGGATGGGGAGATCCCTGTGAACTCTGCCCAGAGGAAGCAGATGGTGTGTTATCGACTGGGTTACCTTCCTGTCGTGATAGCTTCTCAGAACTGAGAAATGATTGAGATTCTTATAGGAAGGAATTAGGAAAAATAATTTTCAAGACGTGTTTAACCCTAACAACTGTCATTGCTTGCTGTACAGCAGATGCCACTGCAGTCTCAAAACCCATATTCCTTGCATTGTCCAGTCTCAAGCGTATTCCTGGTTTGCTTCTAGGTTTGTCAGTGTGATGAGGTGCTGAGTATTTTGCTCTGGAAGTGTCCCATACTGAAAGTGGAAAGCAGTAGGTCCTTGGTAGGCTCTGAGTGGAAATCCTGCCAGATACAGATGGAATTCATATAACTGTAAATAAGTGTAAGAAGGGATGCCATAAACATGAAATCTAATCAAGAAGAAACCCAAAAACCAGTCAAGCTAGATCCGCATCTAAATCACCCTGCTACACCTTGTGACTGTGTTTTGTTCTTTAAAAAAATCTATATTTGCAATCTTATCAGTATGAATGACTTGTAGAATAGCAGTGTGCGACAAAACATGGCCTTGGTGACGGAAAGCCTCCCTGGACTGTTGCTAAAGAAACACTTTCCTTTGTTAGTACCCTTTGTAAGGCTAACTAGGCATCCAGCAAGTCAACAGGCCTTTGTACCATCCTGGTGCAACTTGCTGAACAGACTTGAATTCAGGCTGACAGATGTGGTTAACAGCATTACTGGTTTCAGCAATACATTAATACAGTTCATTCCATTAATAAGTCAGTAGAAGTTTTGCAGACAATCCTCCCAAAAGCCACGGGAAGAAAAGAGAATCAGATGTGCCAGTTGCAGTATTCCTCCTAGGCCTGATTTGTTCGCTTGCCCCAGAGCACCTGAACCGAAGTCAGTGGGAAAAGCCTGGTATATACATTGCAGCATTTCCTTCAGGTGGCACCACATATATTTTTCACAGTCCAAACTGTTCTCAGAGGATGATATCAGGGCCATTTTTCTCACCTTTTCAAAAAGAAATAGCTTTAAGATATCTCAGTCTGGGAAGTTGGTGTCTTGGTGTGTCATGAACAGCAGAATTGTTTCTTATTTAAAAAAAAACTACTCGGTTTTCAGGTCATGCCTGTTCTCCATCATTTGCTGTCTGAATGCAGGCTGGAGAGCTCACAGACGTGTGCCACCTGCCTCTCCTTCTGAAGGCGTGAGCAACGGGCAGGTTCTGTGCTGTCCAGCGCTGAGTTTCGCACGCAGAGCCCGGCAGCGTGCAGACACGCTGTTGCTTTCAGGGCAGGTGCACGCCTCCGTTCAGGTCTGTTCTGTTCAGCCTCAGCGACGACTAGCTCAAGCACCGCAGCTCAAGCTTAACATTTGTAGTGTCTCTGGTTGTGTTGTCCTGCTGCTTTTCAAACCGCTTGGCAGCCTTCTGGGTTTGCAAAAGGCCAAGTGAGATCTTGTCGAGGGCTCTGTGGTGTTCTGGGCATGGGTGGTAGAGAACATCTCAGCAGCACCTTGTGATGGTTTCGGTTCGAGTCCATCCATCTGCTCAAGGCACAGTTTAGAGGGGAGAGGTGTGGGAGTTTGTTTCAGTTGCAGGACTTGAATATTCGTTTTCTCTGTGTGTCAAACCCAAAACTAGAGGAGTTTCCAAAGCTGAGCAGCATTTGTGATTACGTGCATCCTCACTGCAATTTGGTCCACCAGAGTGGAGATTGATGATTTCTTTTTTTATCCTAATGCCAAGAATATACCAGGTGATTTGCACAGGTAGGGAAGTACATGATTTCTGCAACAACAAACAGAGGATGGCTTGTTCTCAAAACACATTATCTTTAAGTATTCTAAAACCAGACAGAGAAAACCTTGTGGATTTGGAAACAGAGTGGTGACTTCACTGTAAGGTGAAGCCAGAAATTGCGCTCTCAGCCTACCTATAAATACTCATTACTTACTCTAGACGTAGAGATTGGCATGCTTTAAGGAGCTACGAACTGGTGACTACAGATTAAATTGTGTCTTGTCAGAAAACGTAGAAAACCTTTCGTTTGCAACATAAACGAATTCAGTCACTAGTATTGATGCTTTTAAAATGGAAATATGGTATTAGTTTGCTCCTTAAAGGAAGTTAATGATGCTGATTATTTACAGGATTTTACATATGCACATAGAGGAGATTGGTGAAATGTAAAGCGAGCATACAGTTTTTACACGAATGTAAGATTGAATTATGAGTTTCTACATTCACATACTGTATTTCTGGATGGGAACATGAGGATGAATTAACATCAGTGGTTACTTGTGTAGCTCATGGGTATTGCTGATTGCCAAGACAGAATTTAACATATGGTTTGACTTGTTCGATTATTTCTTTTTTTTTACAGAGGCATTCCGACAGATTTGTCCATTTGGAATTGGCATCCTTGTTGGACCTGGTGACGCAAGACTGGGTCAGTGCCTGAACTGCACGATGCTGTTGTTGCATCAGTATGCCTTTTTCTACCCGTTAGCCATTCCCTCTTTCAGTCGAGCATAACACCTCTGCAGCTATTTCCAGAAGCTATGAGCTGTATAAACTTCTATAGATTTCGATTATTTATACCAATTTTAAATTCAAGTTTGAACATCTTGTATGTGAGATACTAAGCTTCTTTTAGAGTTGCGTGTTTAGCTTTTTAATATATGCTAAGCAGGCGTGCTAGGAAACCTGTGTAGGATCTAGAGAATGGATGACATAGCGTACCTGTCTTTTCCCACACAATATATGTAGCCTGTTTACAGTAAATGCCTTTAATCCTCCAGAAGTGCAAACCACTGCTTTCCCAGAGCCCTTCAGTACATTCTGTTCTCTCCCAAGACAAACAGCACTTCAGCCTTATTGGCAAAAGTTTTCATGTAAGGAGCGCTGGATGACTACTGCTTTTCACATCTACTCTTCTCCCTGTAGCCCCACTTGGAGAGGTGTTTCATCTGACATTTAGAATCATTTTCTTTTCTGCCTTCTGAAAGCTGGCCTGCAATCTGTGCCCTCACCCTAATAATAGGTCCAAATTCAAATATTAGAAATTTTTTTGTGATCTCAGGAATATTTCTCACCAGAACAACGCTTGTCCTTTGAGAAAAGCGTAAAAGCACACGAAGCCAATTGCACTTACTGTGTTATTTGTATTTCTGGTTAAGATGTGGATGAGTGCCTTGATCCCGATAACTGTAAATTTGGGCAGTGTATCAACACGGATGGGTCCTTCCGCTGTGAATGTCCCTATGGTTACATCCTTCAAGGAGCTCAGTGTGTGGGTAAGTATAACTCTTTCATCTTCTGTTCTAAAGAATCTGCAGCGTTGCTGAGTCGGGCATTAAGGAGTGTTGGGGTTACATTATTCTAACACTGTGGAGTCTCCATCCCCGCTGGTGCTTAAAACCTAAAATTGCCTGAGCAATCTGCTCCAGGTTGGTCCTGCTCTAGCCAGGTGTTCAGCCCAGATAACCTCTAGCGCTGCCGAATTACGCCAGGACTCTGTGACTCCAGTAACTTTAGTGAGTTCTTTGGTCTTCTTGAGGTTTTTTGTTGTTGTACATCAACAGCGTAGTCCGTATACCTGTTTGGTTGAGTATAACCGTGCATTTTTGCCTTGATTTAACTGCTTGCAGATACTGATGAATGTGCTGTTGGAAACCCGTGTGGAAATGGAACTTGCAGGAACGTGGTGGGAGGTTTTGAATGCACCTGCGTTGAGGGCTTTGAGCCCGGACCGATGATGACCTGTGAAGGTGAGACTCCCTGTGTTATTGCAATTGTGTGCAGAAACAGCCTCCTGATTTTGGAAACAACTGGGAAGAGTGAAGTACCTTAAAAAGAAAAATATGGGCATTTGGAACAATATGTCTTTATCAGGAACAGAATGATAGGTTCCTCCTTCCTGCATCCACCTTGAACTGTGGTGCCTTTTTCTAACTGGAGGTGGGGTGAAGAGGTTTTCGGGCGATATCTGCTCAGGACTACCCAGAGGGGAGCATGTGGGGTACAGTATCTCCAGAACAGTCCCCAGAAATGCTGCTTATTGTGTGTACGGTTTTTGCTTACCTCCTAGACAATCCTTGAGTGAAGAGTCACTGTGGATGATGAAAATAGTGAAAGGGCTGCTCGGGTGTGTTACGGAAGCAGCAGGGAACAAACAAGGAAATATAAATACAGTTATAATTAGACAATTACTGTGATAGCCCTGTGTTGAATATTTTTCATGTTTTGGTTTCTCATTTCAAAAATAAAAATTTGAAGATGCACAAAGAAGGGAGGAGTAAGGAGGATCAGAGTTACAGAAGGGACACACCGAAGTTTAAATAAACTGGGATTTTTCAGTGTGGAAAATGTGTTTGAAGAGATACATGATTTAAATTTATAAAGCCACAAGTGGTAAAGGAACCAAAAATAGAGGGAACACGTTAGACAAACCAAAGCAAATATTTTTATGTGCATAGTACTTAAGTTGTGGAACTCTTTGCTGCAGAATATTAGTGAGGCCACAAGTATAAATTGACCCAGAAAGAGATTCTACAAATTTATGGGGGAACCCATCAGTGGAAATTAAGCTTGATAGTTTGGTTGTGGCTTTTGGCTGTGGAAGTCCTTCAGCTGAGAGGCTGTATCAAGGGAAAGATCTCTGCATTCATGGTATGGGGTTTTTTAAATGCTCTTTTCCTCCTGTTACAACCAGGAGAATGTCCTAGGACATTCTGACACTGTCTTCTGACCTGACACAGCTGACTGCCACAATCTATTTGTTTGCAAGCATATATGAAGAACACTTTTATTTTTGCATCAGCTTGCATTACAGTTAGAGCTTCATTCACTTCCCTGTGGAATTTGGGTGGAAGCTCAGATTTCAGAGGAGGAGTTAGCAGAGTGCAGAAACATCATGACATAGCAGTAATTACTCAAATAGCCTAGAGCATCTGTAAATGCACTTGAAAATAGTGTTTCTAGTAAGGATATTGGTTTATCGAATTCAGCGTACAAAGAAGCTGAATTAGTGCATCTAGGATTTAAAAATAACCAGTCATAAAAACTGAGCCTAGATGTGGAAAAGGTACACTTTTTACTCGGACACGGTATTTTTGGCAGCATGGATCTAGAAATTATTTCCACTGGCTGCTTGCCGCTGAAGATATTGAAACTTCAGGTAGCTGTGCAAACATCCTGGCATGTCTGGTGCCTGCTCCCATACAGAAATCCATAGTGGGTAGAGCCACGGGCCCCCAACTGTTAACATTTACCCCTCAGTAAACTGGGATCTGCGGTACTGCCCGTACCTAAAGCCTGTGCGCTCAGTCTGACGAGTTTTACAAAAGTGTTGTTTCACGTTCCCCACGGTCTTTGTCGTTCCAAATCCAGATGTCAACGAGTGCATTCAGAACCCTCTGCTCTGCGCTTTCCGCTGCGTGAACACGTTTGGATCCTACGAGTGCAAGTGCCCCTCGGGGTACGTTCTGCGAGAGGACCGGAGAATGTGCAGAGGTAAAGCTCCTACCAGACTCGCACAGTTAGGAGATAATGATTTCAAGCTCCTGCAGGGGTAGGGCTCTGACTCACTGCACTATTGGGCCAGAGTTTTAATCCCAGGAAGTAACTGAGTCAGAAAGAATTTGGGATGAAATTCTATGGTTTGCATTATACAGTTGATTGTATTAGTCCTGTCCTGCCCGTAAACTTATACATCTGCATAAAGTGAGGTCATATCAGATGATATGGTTTTCTCTTGCCCTGAAAATGGGCATTTGGGAGAAATGAGTTTGCTCAAGGCTAGGATACCTTATGGTTAGTTTAGCACAATAAAAGTATGTGTGGAGCTTGATTGCGATTGAAATTCCAAGGTCAGAATTTACTATTGGGAATTTCCAGGATCATCTCTCTATAATGAAATCTAAACCTTGTGTTTTAGATCAGAATGAGTGTGAAGATGGAACCCACGACTGTGACTCAAAACAGATGGAGTGCAAAAACCTAATTGGCACCTACATGTGTATCTGTGGCCCGGGTTATCAGCGCAGACCGGATGGGGAAGGCTGTATAGGTGAGTGACGCTGAAGCGTTGAAGCTCTTGAAACACACAGTTCCCCAACGGAGCTGAAAATACAAGCCCGAAGGAACTCGGTGGAAGAATTGCAGGGCTACCTGTGTGATGGATGTTCAGGTGCCATACGTGCTTTGCTTTGCTGGTCAGGCGTGCACTCACGTGGGCAGCAAGTAGAAACTCTGTGTGTGGCTGCCTACAGTCAGTTCGTGGTGCTGCTGCTGAATTGAGCCCACTGCTGTGAGCTTGTTTACCTCTGCTAGCGTGACTGAGAGTTAGACCTGGACTGGTTTCAAACTTTGGATGGCATTCCAAAGTGCAGCTACAACTATGAAAAATTTGGAAAACCAGCGAGGGATAGATTGCAGAGAAAACATAGTAACAAAATATATAATATTGTGAGCTAGACGGTCATCTTTCCTCTGAAAACTGAGTAAACAGACACTTTATTAAAAAGGCCAATCATGCGAGTTTAACCTGGCAGAACACACAGCTGAAGAACTCCATGCAAACTGCTCTAACCTGCATTAATGGACTTGATTTTCGTCTGTCATTTCAAAACCGCAGATGAGAATGAATGTCAGACCAAACCTGGGATCTGCGAGAACGGCCGGTGCGTAAACACGGTCGGAAGTTACAGATGTGAATGCAACGAGGGGTTCACCGTCAGCGACACCCAGAACGAATGCCTTGGTAAGTCGCACATTAACAGCCTAATGAGCTGTCGCTTTGCTGGCAGAAACTGTGCTGGAGCTTCAGCTTAGAAGCACAGAGCGAGCGAGTAACCACGCTCTTGACCTTGCGTGCCTTCGGGAAGGGTGCCCTCCTGCGAGTTCGTCCTTCCCACGCCAGCCGTATGCCTGCTTCGGTCAGCCCGGCCGGGTTGCCTTGCGTGACTCTTCGGTGGGTTCAGTCAGCTGGGAATTGCTCTGCCTTTTCTTTGGTCCTGGTTTTCAGCCAGTCCTTTTTCTCTGGGTTCAGACAGAAACATACATTTTTATTAGCATAATGTAACTTGTCTTCCACCTTTAGCTAAATTCCCTTCTTTGTTTCCCTTAGACGTCGTGCTCTCTTTCTTACTGCTGGTAGTCTTTCACTCTCAGTTCCACAGCCCCAGGGTGAAGTATGCCCTTTCTTTTCTATTTCTGGCTAAATTCCTAATATCCCATGACCCGCTGGAGGTCGTCACCATTAGGATTCTCTGTGATGCATAATTTGTCTTCCAGACAACAGGGAGGGCTACTGCTTCACTGAAGTCTTACAAAGTATGTGTCAAATCGGATCAAGCAACAGGAACTCTGTCACCAAGTCTGAATGCTGCTGTGACGGTGGCCGAGGCTGGGGGCAAAACTGCGAGGTCTGCCCCTTCCCAGGCACCGTGGCCTTCAAGAAGCTTTGCCCTCATGGCCGAGGGTACATGTCTAATGGAGCAGGTACTGACTTTTCTATTAAAGGCCCTCTCACACACACAGCATCAGATTAGTAATAAATTCTGAACTGGTTTGGGTTTTGCGTATTTGAACACTGTGAAGTCCTAAATATTTTGGGTATATCAGTCAGGATTTCCTGCGAGTTTTCATGTTGAGAGAGTACAGCCCTTTGGGAGGAAGGTGCACAGCCGAAGGCATCCATCCCAACTTGGCAGATCCATACTTTGCGTGCTGGTTGGCTGACATGCACTCTCACGGGAATTTGCACTTTCGCATTGGAGCGTGCTGTAGGTACAGATGAAGAGCTATTTGTGTACATGAAAGCAAAGTGATGTTTGATTTATGGGGGGTAACGTATGATCCGCTCCTGTTGTTCCCTTCCACTTAAGGCTTGTTCATCGCATTTGAAAGTTAGATTAGTGCTCCATTCCATGTTTTTTTCACTTAATATTTCTCCTGTGCAGTATTTCATTATTTTATGTAGGGTGTGGGGTTTCTTATGTCAGGTCAGAAGAATCTTTTGAAGCTGTATAAAATCAGTTCGTGTTCTGTTGTGAACTAACCCTCATTTAATTGCAGATATCGATGAGTGCAAGGTTATTCATGATGTCTGCCGTAACGGGGAGTGCATCAACGAGAGGGGATCTTACCGTTGCCATTGCAACCTTGGCTATACTACAGATATAACTGGCACCCTGTGCATCGGTAGGTTTTTCATTATGATGTAACCTTTACTGCTAAGAGATGGCTTGAAGAAGGAAATGCAAGGATTGTGAAAAAGGAACAGAGGAAATGCAATTCATTAGAATGCTTTGGGGGATTTTGATTTCCTCCTGATATCTCCTGAGCATTTGGAAAAACATCAGCACAGATCTCTCTTATCAGCACTGAGTTGTCTGGTTCTGCTTCTTCTAGATCTGAATGAATGTAACGAGTCCCCAAAACCTTGTAATTTCATCTGCAAAAACACAGAGGGGAGCTTCCAGTGTTCCTGTCCCAAAGGGTACATCCTGCAAGAAGATGGGAGAAGCTGCAAAGGTAAAAATCAAGAAAAGAATTTAATGCAACAACTCTGTGTTTCACAGGCAAATCCCAATCCAAAGACATGTAAACAGTGTAAATCTCCTTGATCGATGTATTTCCACTACAGACAGTGGAAGTGGCCTGGACAGGATGGAGTTGGTGTCTCTGTTAGTTCTTTGATAATCTGCATGATCCACCAGAATTTTTGCAGGCTGATGGCAGCTGATCTTAAAAGACTTTGTAACCAATAGTAAATATAATTGGTCTCATTGTGGTAAGCATGTTTTGTTAGGCTGTATTTTTCAGTGATAAGTGTACCTTAACGGATGCAAAGATGAGCGTGGTTTGCAGCACACTGTCCAACATCAACGGGGTGTTGACCTAACGCCTCTGTAGCGTGCTGAAGAAGGAACAGCAGTGCAGGGGGAATTTTGAAACATTCATTGTAATTCCATTTATTTCTGTATCTTGGTAGCAAAGATCTGACTGAAACCGCACGAGTTAGAGCAGCGTTCTAAACTCGACATGGGAAACGACGGTGTACTTTGTCATCAGCATTTAAGCATTTATTTGGAGCAGTAGCAGCTTCAGGGCAAGACTGTTTTGCGACCTGCGGAACTGTCGGATCCTCCACTGGGAACCTAAGTCAAAGATGTTTTCTTGGGTTTTTTTAGATCTCGATGAATGTGCAACAAAGCAGCACAACTGCCAGTTCCTTTGCGTCAACACTATCGGGGGTTTCACTTGCAAATGTCCTCCGGGATTCACTCAGCACCACACAGCCTGCATTGGTAAGTGAGCTGGGAATGTGGGATTTGTTACTGGCTCTTACTCCAGAAGTAGCAAGGAGGTGGCATCAGCTTCCTGAGAACCCAGATGGAACCGTAGGCTAGTCCTGATCCCAGTCCCACCGGAGCAGAAGATGCAAAGAGGCCTTCCCTCTTGCCTTCCCTTATTTTCGTAATTTGTGCCTTTGAATTTTGCATTTGCAAGAATCAGACAGTAAAACACCAATTCGTACTTCTTCCCTTCCCCCAAAAAATAGTTGTGTTTCCGTTCTTGTAGTTGTCGCAGGACCCACATCAAAGATCAAGTCGAGGCTTCTTGAAACGATAAGCATGAAACACATTTCTGCAGTTGTCCTTTAAGCACCTAACCGTGATGTCTGTGGAAATGTTCAACACCGCTGCTTGCTGCAGAGCACTCTTCCTGCTCTGCGAGTCGGATCCCGCTTGCGGAGTCCGAGGATCTTGTGGTATGGGTGTGAACTGGGGGCGTTTGAAGACTAGAACCCCAAACCCCATATTCTTGGTGAAGAAAAGGAGTGTTTCCCTTCCCATAGCTGTGGTTAGTGTTTCCAACTGGAACAGAGGGTAGCGGAAGCCCTCCCGTAGTGCCGAGTTAAAAGCGGAGAGGGCAGTAGGACAGCCGCGTTACTGATGTTGCCTTACCTCTTGTCATGAACTGTTCCTCATTAGCGTTGCCAAACGACCAGCTTCACAGCAAGCAGTAAGAAGTAACACTCCGGCTTTGGTTTCCTTCAGATAACAACGAGTGTGCCACTGAAATCAATTTATGTGGGGCGAAGGGCATTTGCCAGAATACGCCGGGAAGTTTTGTTTGTGAGTGTCAACGTGGCTTCTCCCTCGATCAAACCGGGCTCAGCTGTGAAGGTAGGTACGACGCACCGTTGGTTTAACCTGGCTTTCCTTCACCTCTCAGCCCTACTCTCAGCCAAGGAGGGGCCTGTGGGGTAAGCCTGGGTAGACTGAAGGGGAGTGGGATGTGGAAATTTAGCAACAAGGCGGTATTTCTCTCCATGGGCCTGAATAGAGAGATATATTGTAGCATGCTGAAGAGCTGGACAGATGTTTTCTGAGGAGGCTTCAGTTTAGCCTGGAATGTTTCTATTTAAGCATTGCAAGGTCAGTAGACTTCTGATGAATCCTGCATGGATCTGTGAGGGACTCCCCAAGGGCAGGAAGTCTTGCATCACCAAGGCGACCTGCTAAATAGAGAGTTCAGGGCTGGAGACTTTATTCCTCTGGGTCCCTAGAGCCTTCTCGTGGGGTAAGAGTTTGGTTTGCTGTGAAAAGAGAGATCCTGGGTTTCCTGGGTTGGGTGCTTGGGTAAAAGCAAGGGACTGTCTGCTGTAGAGCTGGGACCCATGGGAAAGCTTTGAGGGTCCCACGTAGGAATGCCTTTCTGCTGCCTGCTCCATAGCAGAATACGAAAATTCTGAAAACTGTGGCTGAATATGGGCTTTCTGTAGTTTTCAGCCCTAAGTTAATTGCTGTGGAGCCAGAAATCCAAACCTGAAAGGCCTGAAGTGGTTTCCCAGCACTGGTCAGGTTTTTGGAAGATGATGATACATACCTCTCTGATATACGAATATACGTAATCGTTTGTACCAGATTCTTCAAAGGTAGTGTAACTTGAGCTTCTTTCCCAAAACTTGGAGTGTATCTCACCTTTTTTTAGATGTTGATGAATGTGATGGAAACCACCGGTGTCAGCATGGCTGCCAAAATATAATTGGAGGATACAGGTGTAGCTGCCCACAAGGATACCTCCAGCATTACCAGTGGAACCAATGTGTTGGCAAGTCACGATTTTGAAATTCATACGTTAAAATGCATGTTACCTTTGTTAGCAGCAAGAAGTGCAGTGGTGCAGTTTGCCACGTTTTCTTTTTCTTACTCTGATTTAATAAGTTCAGCGTCATTTGGTGTCAAACATGGAAGGCAGAGTGGGCGTGAAGCCTCCATTAGGCAGTGTCTTGGTTCGACAAGTGTTTGAGCACAGAATTGCCCTTGGGGGTGCTAGAATTTGTGTTGATACTGAGGGAACTTGGGTTACTTGGTTATTTTGTGGTGTGAACAAAGGAAATTCGGCTCAGCTGTGCAACTGTCTCTGCTCAGACACGGGTCTGGCCTGAGAGCTCACGGTGGGTTCAACCCGGCAGACTCAGAACCGCACGTTTGGAGCGTGAAATTGTAAAATTAAACTTCTGGCCCCACGCATCTAAAATTCTATTGAAATCCCACTTGATCTGTGCTTTTATCATTCCTAAACACCTACAGGAAGCCTGCTGTGGTTCAGCCCCTTCTCTGAACAGAATTCACCATTTGTCATGTTTGAGCAAAGCTGCTGTCTGTCTAAAGATGCTTCCTTGCAGCTCTGGGGTCCAGTTCACGTGTGCTAACAGGACAATTCTGCTTAGAAATAAATGCTAGTGCTCTTTGTTTATGTTAAGAAGTAAGCACACACAGGTGAATTAAAATTCTTATTCCTTCCCTATCTGAACTTTGGCTCTGTCCCACGTCTGTGAGCCCTTGCAGGCAGGGCTGCACGTGCAGGGCGTCGATGCTGGATACGGCTTGCGCAGACAGAACTGCAGAAGTCATGGGAAGAGACCCTGAGCATTTCAGCAGTGTGGCATGTAGCAAATTCCAGCAGGAAAAACACGAACTGTTTTTCCTCCAGTGACGGTTCTGTGCGGTTTTAGCCGTGTTTAATGGGCTTCATAAGAGCTAAAAGCCTTGCGTGGACACCCGGAAATGTGTTTGATGACCTCTTGGAGAACAAAGGGCTTCATAACTCTTTGTTTGGCTTTCTTTGCTTTCAGAAACACAAAAATGCCTTTGCTTGTTATCACTCGGGTACTCTAGGGAGGCTTCTGCTTTTAATTATGCTTACCAAACCTCCTGACATTTTATGCAGCCCTAGCTGTGATGTTTGCTTGCTTGTGCTCCAGTACTCTATGCCTCTTACATATAAGAGAACAAGGAGGGTGCACAGGCGTGTGGTGGGTTTGAATATTAACTAAGCTAGCAGAGCATAGGGTTAAATTAGAATTTAATCTGCAGGAGGGTAAAAAAACCCAACAGCACTTCCAGGTCTGGCTGCTGGTGGACATTGTTGAATCTGAAAAAGCACAGCTCTTGGTTTTGCAAAACATCCTGGCTGTTTCCAAGCCTTCCTGGGTGACAGCATTAACTAAGTGTATTTCCAAACCAGGCAATAATAACCACTGTTATTCCTGCTTTTGAGCCCATTGACTACTATTGAGATTTTTCTACCGGGAATAGCAATTTCAAAATGCACAGGCACTGGTATTTCCCCCACTGACAGAAAGGCTTCAGCCCTGGCACCACAAATACCAGTCGCCAGAAACTTCACCGGGGAAAATTACAGAGAGCCACAACAGGGGAAATACTCTGCTGGCACTTCTGCTGCCTCGGACGTGGGGCAGTCCAGGCAGAAACCCAGAACTGCAGGGAAGGAGGCTGGACTTCCTCCGACCTCACAGCATCTCTCCTGCCTGCTGGAGCTGAGCACGACGGTGCTGCCTGCTGCAGAGCGTGGGAGAGCACCCCTGGTGCCCGACAGCACAGCCCACGTGGAGTCCGAGGCTCCCATAACTTTTATTTTTCATTTTTCTTCCTATTTTTGCTCCCAACGATCACCCAGAATATGGGAACTAACCTCACTAGCATCCACACTTTGGCTGCTGTGGAGCAAGGCGAAGGGATCGTTCTCCTCCTGGTGCAGTAACTCTCCCAAATGCCCAAACGGGCGTTTGTGGTGTGACATAATTGCTGCGTTAGGGATGGCAAATAGTGAAAACGTCGCGCTCCGTTAATGGCAAAACTCCCGCAGCCTTGGGTGACGGAATTCAGCCCCGGGTTTGAATACCTCATGGTCTCCACACGTTCACGTTGTAACGTTGGTAACTGTATACGCTTAAGGTACTTATCTAGATTTCTGGGCGTACCACAGGGGAAGAATCCATGTATCAGGTTTTTCTGTGACAATTCCTTCCTATTCCTTGGCAATCCCAACTCTGCAAACAGTTTTGGGTCTTTTTTCGCTTGTTTAATGAAATGTTCAGGGCCTTTGATGTTGCTGCAACACATATTTAAATAATGACCGAAGAATGCTTTGGTTCCTCCCGTGGCTTGTGCTGCGTGTGACCGCATCCCCTGCCCGGGCAGTTCCACGCCGTACATCGGGCCGCAAGAAGGAGGGATTCTGCTGTGAAACAAAGCACAAACAGCCACGTTGTTCGGAAAGGACAAGGATGTTCTGAATTCGTACTTGCTCTCCTGTAACCTGGTCGGAGATGCTGCTCCGTGCGGTTGCTTTATCCCGGACAACAGTAGCATTCAGAATGTCTCTAAGACGTTTGCCGCATCAGACAAAAATATGCAACCAGCTACATTTAGAAACCCAGCAATTTACAGTAAACAAGCCTGAACCAACCTCGAACTCCTACGGTGCCGCACTTGGGAAGTTTGGAAAAGGGCTGGCTCAGAATGCGTCAGTCTCTTGTATCTACAGCTGCTTTTCTTTTTCTTTACTACTTGTTGCTGTACGTTACCTATACCTCGTATTTAAATGTGTGCAGAGAGGGATTTTCAGTGCCTGGAAGAGGTGTCAGAGCTTGATTCCTTGCTCTTTTTCCTTTAAAGTGGAATAGCACTACAAGCATGGGATGACTGGAGCAGATTGTTGGCTGAACAAAGTTTTATTCTTCTCAGTTGTTTCGGGAATGCAAAAAAAAAAACAAGTTGCCTCTTCTGCTTCTCTGCTCCCTGGAACATGAGCTGATGCGGCATGAAACATCGTCTGTGGAGTAGCCCAAACGTGGTCATGCTGCGTGGCTGTAGTCAGCTCCCAGCGACCGCTGCCCTGGCCAAGGGTGCGGCCCAGTCCTCTCCGTTTCCATCCGCCCGACGTGGCTATGTGTTTAGCAACAGCCAAGCACAACCTTTCTGAAGGGGTAGGTGGGGCTCGACCCGGGACTGAGAGTTAACGCAGTGTGTTCTGCTTCTTTTCCAGATGAAAACGAATGTCTCAGTGCACACATTTGTGGAGGAGCCTCTTGCCACAATACTTTGGGAAGCTATAAATGTATGTGCCCTACCGGATTTCAGTATGAGCAGTTTAGTGGAGGTTGCCAAGATATCAATGAATGCGGTTCTGCACAAGCCCCATGCAGTTATGGTTGTTCAAATACTGAAGGTGGCTACGTCTGTGGATGTCCACCTGGTTACTTCAGAATAGGACAAGGGTAAGGGATTCTCATTTTAAACTAACGGACATCAAAGGGACATAACCCGCTCCCTTCCCTGGAGTGGGGAGCAGCAGAACCGGGGGGTTGTCACCAGTGAAAGAGGGGTAGGACGGGGGAGAGCTGGATGCGCCTGCTGATCTGGGAGACGAGGGAGGGGAAGGGTAACCGAGGGAAGGGAGCAACATGGTTTTAATGCTTCATGACATTTGGGCAGGGCTGCCAGGTTCCATCGTCTCTTTTAAGCTGCTGCTTTCCCCCCTCTCCTGCTCAGCCCAGCAGTGAGCTAGGTTCTCCGAGCTCGCTGCCTGGGAGCTCCCGCCCCTCGCGATGGTTTGCGGTGTGTCGCTGGCCTCCTTTAAAACCAAAATCGTAACACCCCCCGCCTGCTCCAGAGGCCAGTGATGTTATACACGTGCTTTCCCCACAATTCTGTATGCTCCGTGTTCTCTACGTTCCATGTTCTGTGTTCCAACTAACCATTTTTTGAATAAATGCCTGCTTTATGAAGAAAAGCAATTTTCCCTTCCCCCAGGGGAGGTGTTAGGGCTGCGCATCACATAGGACCGAGCAGCTCCAGTGCGATGCAGGACTGTGGCTGACAGTCATACAAGTGGCCAAAAACTTCAGGATACATCACCAAAGACCTCGCTTTTCAGATTTTTCAGCAGTTTCTGAAAACTGGTCTCTGTTAATGTGTTCCAGGTTGGATGACAGAAATACTAACAACTTGTCAGCGCTTAAAGCTTGGGTGTTTCAGACGGTTAGATATTGGCAGGTCTCTCTCAGGCGAAGCCTCGCGGGGCCAGGCTCGTGAAATCAGGGGTAGCTGCAGGGGGATTCAGTGAGAAATTTTACCTGTTGACTTCAGCAGAAATTTTTCCTAGGAAATGAGTGCCACAGAATGGCCTTGCTATTTGTATTCACAGTCCCTCAAATCCAGCTCTTGATAAGGTCTGTGTCCCACTGGAATTAATTTTGAATTTCTTCCTTCCTCAGACACTGTGTTTCTGGAGTGGGGCTCGGCAAAGGTCAAGGACAAGAGCTGTCCCTCAGCGGAGAAGTAGATGACAACTCCCTCTCGCCAGAAGCTTGCTACGAGTGTAAAATCAATGGCTATCCCAAGAGAGGAAGGAGGCGCCGGAGCACTAATGAAACTGCAAATGAAACAGAGGTAACGGCCTCTTCTCGGGAGAGAGAGTTTGGGGCTGCCTTGTGATTGTGAAAGCCCGTCACGGAAGGAGGTGTGCCCGGAGACAATCCCGCAGGAAAGATGCACACCCCGACCAAGCCAGGCCAAATTGCTGGTTTGGGATATCAGGCCATCTGGAGGGGGACCCAGGAAGCAGCCCCTCTCCCCACAAAGCGGGCCCTGGGTGTCAGAGGACGGCAGGGATGCGAAACGTTTGTGTGGCCTGGTGGCCAGGAAGGCAGGATGCGTTGAGTGGGGTGGGCAAGGAGCGCCGTGTCGCGCGCCTGGGGCCGGGGCCCTCCCCACAGTGAGCGCAGAGCTCTGGACACAAACGTCTCCCCTGGGGGGGGAGCCCAGGGCTGCAACCCTTCCTGGGGCTGCTCCAAATGGTTGCCGCCAGTCGCCCAGGTTGCCCTGTGGGGGCTGACTGGCGAGGC